TCCTCACCCTGTAGGTGATTTTCTTGTACAACCTTCTAGCTTTTTCTTATCAGTTGTCTAGTAATGACAACCACGCATACATTGTCTTCTCTGTATTAAAAACATAGCACATGGCCTGTGGAAATTCTGACAATAATAACCTACTCTGTGTCATCTATTTTGCTATTTCAAGTTATTCTTGTTCAAAAGGAGTGGCTTCTACAGTAAACCCTGGCGAGGACGTGGGGACTCTCACTCGCGTGGGTGGGACTGGAAACTGGTGGAATCAGTCTGGAAATCAGTGTGGAGAGCTCTCCAAGAGCAGAAGTTAAGTCTACCATGTGACCCAGCCATTCCACGCCTTGGCATACCCAAAGGGCTCGACGTTAACTCCACAGATGTGGACTCAGCCGTGGCCATTGCTGCTCCACTCACAGTAGCTAAGAAAATGGAAGCAACCTAAGTGTCCTTCAATGGGTCATGAACATGTGGCCCATATACACCAGGAGACTATTCAGCTGTGAGGAAAAACGAAACCATGGCAATTTCAGAAAAACCGATGGACCCAGAAAGACAGACATCCCATGTTTCTCATCTGTGGCTCATCATCCCACATCCTCTGGTGTGAGTATTCAACCTAGAGCAACCACAGAGAGCAGAAAAGACCAGAGGAGCTGTGAGGGTGGTGAGCTTGGGAGGGACACGCAGGACAAAGGTGATACAAAGGGGAAATCAGGGAAATGGGGGGGGGGGTCTCTACCTGGGGAGAGAGTGGAGCTGGACAATGCAGAGGAAGAGGGAGTGGAGAATAAAAAACATTAAGGGTGTTTGAAACACCCACAGAGAATCATTTTATATTTGCCTAAAGTTATACAATATACACAAGTGTATGGATGTGTGTGTGTGTGTGGTGTGTGAACACACACACTTTTTAAAAACAGGACAGAAATTTGAGAGGGAGGAGAGGGGAAACAAAAGAGGGTGAATTGAAGAAAGGGGGAAATGATATACACAATACACATAAAATTTTTAATTAAATGCAATAAAAATAAAGGTTACAGTTTTTCTAAGAAAGTATCAAGTATTGAGGCCAGAGCAGGCGGTACCTTCCGAAGGTGGACTCTCAGGGGGTTAATGCTGCAGCTCTCGAGACCCAGACCCTGGAAAACGGTCTAGCTTCCTGAGTTTTGCTCACTCAGCATGGCTATAACAGACTCTCCCTGGTTTCCTTCATACTTTAAACTTTTTAAAACATTTATCATATACATACATGAGCACATACATGCCACAGCACACATATGGAGGTCAGAGGACAACTTTCAGGGGTCAGTTCTCTCCTTCCACCATGTGGGTCCTACGGAATCAACTCAGGTCACCCGGCTCGGCGGCAGGTGCCGTCTCTGCAGCCCCTTACACTTCACACTACTTTTGTATCTGCTCATCTCCCTTTGTGTCATCATCTGATGAAGTCTGACAAAGACGAGCCAGAAATGAATGCCAAGCATTTTGAAGAGTGGAGAAACAGCACCAAATGCATGTGCATAACATGTGCAAGGCGTGTCCTGAAGAACTGGGCTGATCATTAGGGTAACCGGCCACAGGGAAGGGATGGCATTTTTCCCATCTGGACAACACAGTTTAAGGAAGCTCTGTGGAGCTGTGTCAGGAAAAACCAGGCAACACCGGAATCAGACACTAGGAAGAGGAAAGGCAGCGCTCCCGGCCCCCAGAGGGTTGTCATCAGTGACAGCAGAGTTTGGCCTAAGCAGGAAAGTGGTGAGAAGGTGAGCCGGTCAGGAGAGGAGGGAGGGCCCAAGTTAGAGCAGCAAAAAAATTCCTAACAGAAAATCAAGGGAAGTGTGGTTGAGTAAGGCAGAGGTCTAAGCGGCAACATTTGACACAGTTGTAGGGACAGAGGGAAAAGCGGCCTGAAAAAGAACAGCTGCCTGGAGCCAGGCCAGTTAAAATTTACAATTACCGCACTGATAAGCAGCAGCGAGAGACCATTGGAGGTGGAGATATCATGTAATTCTTTCATGTCAAATACCGAGGAAGTGTTCCGGCCTACGGGGCTGAAAGGGGTGAAAATAAACATGCCCTCAGGGAGCTTCTGCTGAATAATGAAAAAGTCATCTTTCTCTGTAGGTTATATTTAGTTCCAACGCTCCGGCCTCGCTCCTAAAATGACCTTAAAACACAGTTAACACTGCAGGATGCTGTAGCCGTCACTGATGATGTCTGTCTGCCAGAAAAGCTGAAGCACCTCTCTGGGGCACGGTTGAGCAAGAAAACGGTGCTATGTAGATACTGCATGCCCTGATGTCACACTACGTAACGTGCTGACACAAAGGGAGCCACTTCTCTGGATCCAGTAAGGAAACACTGCTATAAAATGTGTTTTCCCCCCTTTTCTTTCTTCTCTCTCTCTCTCTCTCTCTCTCTCTCTCTCTCTCTATTTGTCTGTTAAACAGAAACAAATGAACACAGGCCATTTCAATCCATGCAGATGACTTTATTGGCGAATTTAAAAGGTAAATGTTTGTTCCAGTAACCTAAGAATTAAAGCAAATAGCTTTAACAGAACTCACCGAGCAGCAGGGAAACAGGCAGATGTGGGTCTCCAAAGGCCACCCAGCCCTGGACACAAAGCCAGGCAGAAGGCAGGCTACCTGAACATGCTAACAAACACACCTACATTGGAAAACATACAACTGTTCAAATTAAATGGCTTACAAGTTCCTGCAGTTACTTTTCAAACTGTTGTGAGAAACACGATGCTTTCCAAGTCCAGGCTTGCAAAATAGCTCAGCCTCTCTGCATCAGACGCGGTCTTCACGGGTAAAGGCGTGTCTCAGAGCGCTTTCAGAAAGGACTTGGGCTTTGACCCGAGCGTCAATCTTCAGTCTAATGACCAAGGAACGTTATGAGTGTACTTCTCCAATAATGAAACCTAACTAAAGTACAATATTGTTCACAAGTCTGTTTGGATGAAAGATTGCCAGTTAACTTTAAACAGTATTTTAAACACAAAAAACTACTTACAGATAAACGACTGGGAGATGATTTTTCTGTGGAGGTGTTCAAGGCCTCAACGTCGCAGCCCGCCCTTTCTACTTCTTTTCTATAAAACGTGTCTTTCTCATGCTCTTTCGAGAAGATTAATTCTTCATGAATAGGAACATTTTTTTGGTCAAGGAATTCATCCTCAGAACTCCCACTAATGTGCCAAGAGATATGTTTAGATATGTTCTTTCAATGTAGTCTGAAATAACATGAAATCCAAATGTCCACCCATCTTGACTCAACAAATACAGTGCACATCTTCATAAAGACACTAGAGAACAAGCAAGTAAGTAAAGAAACCGTGGGCTCCCATTTGAAGACTGAAGGTTTTCGAGCCTGGTCCACAATTACAGTGGAGTACCTATTAACTTTGAATTTTCTAAATGCTAATAAGAAAGGAATAACAGTTGCTGAGCTACATTTGATAGTAGGAAAAACCATGGAATTAAATCAGTCAAAATACTGTAAAGATGTACTGACCTCAGAATGGAAACCAGACATGCATTACGCTGGGGCAGTGGTTTTGCTTTTGTTTCCATGGGAGATAAAAAGCTATGGAGTAATTGCAGTAATTTTGGGGGACAGATTAACAAAAACTATCCCAAAAAGAGAATTCAACTTATAAAGAGAACTAACTGGTTCCTTCCTTGCATTGTACGGAACACACCAATAACTGAAGCTCCTATATTCTACAGTGATGCAAATAAAACAGGAAAGGCAGGTAGGTACCAGTGATCTTTGACGTCTCCAAAAGAAGGATGGGGCCCCACAATGACAATTTCTCTAGGACTCTGATAACACCACTAAGGTGTAGGGGGTAGACAGGATCTCAGCCCTTCACTCACTCTCCACTAGCCTCCTGAAGGTCCAAATCCAGAAAGAGTCCCCTGCTTCCAGAACAGCACCTCAGGCATTATGGAAAAAGTCATCTTCTTTGAATACACATACACTTTTTCTAAACAAGGAAGCAAAGGTAGTGAGTCAGGCCTGAAAACTCTGAAGAATGTCTGCGTTTGTGTAGTCAGGGGTTTCTTTTTCTTTTTTCCTTTTCCTTTGGAGCCCAGGCTAGTCTCGAACTCATAGTAATCCTTCTGCCTCAGTATCCCTAGTGCTGAGACTAAAAGTATGAGGGACCACGCAAAGCTCTGTGCTTCTGTTTCACACATCCAATTCTTCGTCCAGTGAGATGGATACACCAATTCGCACTGCCCACAGCCAGGAAGGGATTAGCAGGCCCAGGGCAACTCCTGATTCCCTAGCAAATGGCCTGGATGCCACTTGGGTCTTGTCAGACATATGGAACATCTGACTCGAGTTACTCGAAAGAACGCCAGTGCAAGGCAGTGTGAGGATATTGAGGCGTGTGTGGTGTGGCGGGCCTTACGATACTGCTCTTGTCTTTAAGTCTGCAGTGTCCGCAAATGCTCCAGATGGCTAAGCTGAGCCCTCCCTCTCTATAGCTGGGCCGGGGGCAGGCACTCATGATTATGCGTGTCATGTTAAGGAACATATACATCTCATCTTCTGAAAGGACATAAACCACTACAGTGGGCCATGTTCTTTCCAGTAGAAAGGCACCAAATATTAGGACAAAGTAGTCTTCGTGTCTGGAATTGCAATGCAAGTCTAAACTGAAGAAATACTTTCCTGTTTGCAGAAGACTGGATGTCAGTCACATCCGTTTTCACCAAGTACTGAGGTACAGTGAAACAGCACTTTTAAAGGTTATTTCTGTGTGTCTGTGTGTGTGTGTATCTGTCTGTCTGTCTTTGCAACAGGGCATTTAATATTTGAATGAAATTTAAAAGCCCCACCCTGCCGTGGCTTTGCTTTTTAAGAATCCTGTGCACACCTTACTTGCGGGAGTGAGGACTCTGCATGAGCTGCCCTGCCTTGATGAGCACTTTCGTGAGCACAGTGTGGAATATGGTACCAAAAAGGGACAAAGAGCATCCTTATTTTATACTTTATTTAAAATTGTAAAATGATGAACAGTTAACAGTAGATGGAAATTTGGCAGCATTAGTCAGACAATGTTTAAGACTTGACGATTTAAGAGCCCGCAAATCCTTTATCGTCCAACATTTTAGTCTATGTAGTCAAAGTCTTCTGGAATTCCAAAGTTTTTGTCAATTTTATTTTCTTCAAACCCAAATTTTCTTTTGGCCCAGGATTTTATTGCAAATATGTTATCTATAAAAAATTAAAAATATCTTTGAGAATTAAAACCACAATCATCAAACGTCATAACTTAATTATCTGTATTGGTACTATGCTTCCATTACTCTCTGATACAGTAAAATAAGAAGTCATTTGCTACTTAGGAATGCAGACAGGGCAGCTTCCTTCAGTCTTCCTGTGTTTCTACCAGAGCTCAGGCTCCACTACCTCAGCAACGTCAGCTGTTCTTGCTCCCAAAGGGAGCACTTTCTCTCAGACCTCTGTCCTTCTCTGTATCGGCGTAAATAAATGCAATGCAGATATTAAAGAATATTTACCACTTTAATGATAAATTTACAGAACCGAAGTTCCCGCTTGGCACAGGAGGTAGGAAGGGAAGGGCGGAGTCGCCTCCCGCACGCCCATTTATCTGTGGGCATTCGCCCGAGGCAAACCCCGCCCCCTAAAGGGGCTGTCTTAACCCTACACTTCTCCTTGGACTAATGGCTTCCAGACAAGCAGGCCAGCCTGAGGACTGGGCAAGAGGACAGGAAAAGGTTTTCCTCTTAAACTAACATAGAAACAGATGTGTCTTCGTATCTCTACAGGGAATTTGTATTCTCCCACTGAAAGGAAAGCTGCACCTACTTAAAGAAATTTATCCTACAGGGAGAACCCCGAATTGTACACAACGATCTCCAGACAAGGATCTTCACTCCAGTGCAATAACAGCAGGAGGTCAATGCCTATGGCTCAGGCATCACTGCTGGGCAGCAAGAGGAGAAGACGGTACCCATGTACCCCTGGGGTAAGACTGATGGTCCCCTAACCCCTCAATTCCATACAGTTCTCATCTATTATATGATTTATAATTAAAATGCTTTCCATGAACACAAGAACGATGGCATAAGTTCCCAAGTCTGCTAGAGTGCTCTGCACTAGTTGTAAAAATGAATGAAAGATTGAAACAAGTTCCTCCTGAGTGCCACAGCGACATCATGTCCTTACTCCTGCCAGTGGCCAGTCACACCACCTTAAATGTTCTGGAGACAGAACCTTTAAAAGGATGATGGAGCTAAAATGAGGCCATTAAGGTGGAACCGAACCAAATGCGATAGGTTTCTTTACAATTTAGACAGTGGGAGAGATCTGCAGCTGGCAGAGGAAAGACGACAGGACAGCCACGTGCAGACAGACAGTGCTGGACCCCAGATGGGTAGAAGAGCATTGACGGGATAGGCTTTAGGTCTAGTTAACTTTTATATATATATACACACACATATATTATTATTATATAGTATATATATGACATATATTATATACACATAAATATATAGTCTTTTTAGAAAAAGATTCAACAGTGCTAACAAATGAATGTGTTAGAGAATGCCAACAGATATTTAAATGAATCTATTCTTCTTAACAATCTAAAATGAATTTCAGCTTTTCATAACATGAGAATACTAGCAACCAGCATAAGTTCAGGAGTTATGTTAGTTTACCAGAGAGTTCAGTCAGGAAAGCCTGGTCAATTACAGCCCAGAGTGTGAGACAGGAGACAGCACTCGAGCACTGCACACGCGGCAGTGTGAGACAGGAGACAGCACTCGTGCACTGCACACGCGGCAGTGTGAGACAGGAGACAGCACTCGTGCACTGCACACACAGTGTGAGACAGGAGACAGCACTCGTGCACTGCACACGCTGCAGTGTGAGACAGGAGACAGCACTCGTGCACTGCACACGTGGCAGTGTGAGACAGGAGACAGCACTCGTGCACTGCACACACAGTGTGAGACAGGAGACAGCACTCGTGCACTGCACACGCGGCAGTGTGAGACAGGAGACAGCACTCGTGCACTGCACACGCGGCAGTGTGAGACAGGAGACAGCACTCGTGCACTGCACACACAGTGTGAGACAGGAGACAGCACTCGTGCACTGCACACGCGGCAGTGTGAGACAGGAGACAGCACTCGTGCACTGCACACACAGTGTGAGACAGGAGACAGCACTCGTGCACTGCACACGCTGCAGTGTGAGACAGGAGACAGCACTCGTGCACTGCACACGCGGCAGTGTGAGACAGGAGACAGCACTCGTGCACTGCACACGCTGCAGTGTGAGACAGGAGACAGCACTCGTGCACTGCACACACAGTGTGAGACAGGAGACAGCACTCGTGCACTGCACACGCTGCAGTGTGAGACAGGAGACAGCACTCGTGCACTGCACACACGGCAGTGTGAGACAGGAGACAGCACTCGAGCACTGCACACGCGGCAGTGTGAGAGAGGAGACAGCACTCGAGCACTGCACACGCGGCAGTGTGAGACAGGAGACAGCACTCGTGCACTGCACACACAGTGTGAGACAGGAGACAGCACTCGTGCACTGCACACACAGCACAGTGTGAGACAGGAGACAGCACTCGTGCACTGCACACACAGTGTGAGACAGGAGACAGCACTCGTGCACTGCACACACAGTGTGAGACAGGAGACGGCACTCGTGAACTGCACACACAGTGTGAGACAGGAGACAGCACTCGTGCACTGCACACGTTGCAGTGTGAGACAGGAGACGGCACTCGTGAACTGCACACACAGTGTGAGACAGGAGACAGCACTCGAGCACTGCACACACAGTGTGAGACAGGAGACAGCACTCGTGCACTGCACACGCGGCAGTGTGAGACAGGAGACAGCACTCGAGCACTGCACACACAGTGTGAGACAGGAGACAGCACTCGTGCACTGCACACACAGTGTGAGACAGGAGACGGCACTCGTGAACTGCACACACAGTGTGAGACAGGAGACAGCACTCGTGCACTGCACACGTTGCAGTGTGAGACAGGAGACGGCACTCGTGAACTGCACACACAGTGTGAGACAGGAGACAGCACTCGAGCACTGCACACACGGCAGTGTGAGACAGGAGACAGCACTCGTGCACTGCACACGCGGCAGTGTGAGACAGGAGACAGCACTCGTGCACTGCACACGCTGCAGTGTGAGACAGGAGACAGCACTCGTGCACTGCACACGCGGCAGTGTGAGACAGGAGACAGCACTCGTGCACTGCACACGCGGCAGTGTGAGACAGGAGACAGCACTCGTGCACTGCACACGCTGCAGTGTGAGACAGGAGACAGCACTCGTGCACTGCACACACGGCAGTGTGAGACAGGAGACAGCACTCGAGCACTGCACACGCGGCAGTGTGAGAGAGGAGACAGCACTCGAGCACTGCACACGCGGCAGTGTGAGACAGGAGACAGCACTCGTGCACTGCACACACAGTGTGAGACAGGAGACAGCACTCGTGCACTGCACACACAGCACAGTGTGAGACAGGAGACAGCACTCGTGCACTGCACACACAGTGTGAGACAGGAGACAGCACTCGTGCACTGCACACACAGTGTGAGACAGGAGACGGCACTCGTGAACTGCACACACAGTGTGAGACAGGAGACAGCACTCGTGCACTGCACACGTTGCAGTGTGAGACAGGAGACGGCACTCGTGAACTGCACACACAGTGTGAGACAGGAGACAGCACTCGAGCACTGCACACACAGTGTGAGACAGGAGACAGCACTCGTGCACTGCACACGCGGCAGTGTGAGACAGGAGACAGCACTCGAGCACTGCACACACAGTGTGAGACAGGAGACAGCACTCGTGCACTGCACACGCGGCAGTGTGAGACAGGAGACAGCACTCGTGCACTGCACACGCGGCAGTGTGAGAGAGGGACAGCACTCGTGCACTGCACACGCTGCAGTGTGAGACAGGAGACAGCACTCGTGCACTGCACACGCGGCAGTGTGAGACAGGAGACAGCACTCGTGCACTGCACACGCGGCAGTGTGAGACAGGAGACAGCACTCGTGCACTGCACACGCGGCAGTGTGAGACAGGAGACAGCACTCGTGCACTGCACACACAGTGTGAGACAGGAGACAGCACTCGTGCACTGCACACACAGTGTGAGACAGGAGACAGCACTCGTGCACTGCACACACAGTGTGAGACAGGAGACAGCACTCGTGCACTGCACACACAGTGTGAGACAGGAGACAGCACTCGTGCACTGCACACGCTGCAGTGTGAGACAGGAGACAGCACTCGTGCACTGCACACACAGTGTGAGACAGGAGACAGCACTCGTGCACTGCACACACGGCACAGTGTGAGACAGGAGACAGCACTCGTGAACTGCACACACGGCAGTGTGAGACAGGAGACAGCACTCGTGCACTGCACACACAGTGTGAGACAGGAGACAGCACTCGTGCACTGCACACACAGTGTGAGACAGGAGACAGCACTCGTGCACTGCACACGCGGCAGTGTGAGACAGGAGACAGCACTCGTGCACTGCACACACAGTGTGAGACAGGAGACAGCACTCGAGCACTGCACACACAGCACAGTGTGAGACAGGAGACAGCACTCGTGCACTGCACACACAGTGTGAGACAGGAGACAGCACTCGTGCACTGCACACGCTGCAGTGTGAGACAGGAGACAGCACTCGTGCACTGCACACACAGTGTGAGACAGGAGACAGCACTCGTGCACTGCACACGCTGCAGTGTGAGACAGGAGACAGCACTCGTGCACTGCACACACGGTGTGAGACAGGAGACAGCACTCGTGCACTGCACACGCTGCAGTGTGAGACAGGAGACAGCACTCGAGCACTGCACACACAGTGTGAGACAGGAGACAGCACTCGTGCACTGCACACGCGGCAGTGTGAGACAGGAGACAGCACTCGTGAACTGCACACACGGCAGTGTGAGACAGGAGACAGCACTCGTGCACAGCACACACAGTGTGAGACAGGAGACAGCACTCGTGCACTGCACACGCGGCACAGTGTGAGACAGGAGACAGCACTCGTGAACTGCACACACAGTGTGAGACAGGAGACAGCACTCGTGAACTGCACACACAGTGTGAGACAGGAGACAGCACTCGTGCGCTGCACACGCGGCAGTGTGAGACAGGAGACAGCACTCGTGCACTGCACACGCGGCAGTGTGAGACAGGAGCTTCTAGGTCTCCTTAAGGACAAGAAAACATGCAAAGACTAAAAAAAAAAGCACCAACAAAAGCCACACTGTGGTGCGCAGGGGTCGATTCAGAGATGCTTCCGAGCCCTCCTCAGCCATTGGATGTCTGCCTTATGAAGCTGGTCCATATATAATCCTGACAATGCATTCCCTATCAAATAATTCTCCTATTATACACTATTTTTTAAGTGGACAGACTATTCTTTTAAAGGAAACAACTTAAGACTTGTTTGTAAGTCTTGATTCCTGTTAGTTAATATGGTTTTATACTCAGTATCAACGTAAGCCTTTGCAGTGACGTCTCCTACCTCATGCACTAAGATGCCTTTTGATTCCTAGCACAGAAAACTCAGTCACTAAGTCTCTACTACCTGGATTTATTACGATGTAATTTGTTAAATAGATGTGAAGTACAAAACATAAATAAGATATATACTTCATCTATATTTAAAACTCTTTTTTTCTTTTTATTTATTTATTTTTTGTTGACAGGGATTTTTTTCAAGACAAGATTTTTTTCTGTGTATCCCTGGCTGTCCTGGAACTTGCTTTGTAGACCAGGCTGGCCTCAAACTCATAGAGATCCACCTGCCTCTGCCTCCTGAGTGCTAGGATTAAAGGGATGCGCCACCACAAGCTGGAGGCAATCTCTCATTCTATAAACTAAAATGTTGCGTTATTAAACAATAGATATTCTTTTTTTAAAATCTTACACATTTTGGTTTCTTGTTTTGTTTTTATGGGATTTCTGTGTGGGCAAGTTTGTCTCTATATCTATGTGTTTGAACTTTTTCTCTGGCTCTTCTTCTGTTCGTCTGTTTTGTCCTATTCTGGTTTGTTTTTATTTATTTTCTAGATACCTCTAATCTCCTAATGAGAGGGAGAAAGTAAGGGTGTGAATTGGGTGGGTGGGGAAGGTAGGGAGGATCCGGGAGGAGTTCTTAGGGGAGCATAATCAGATTAGATTGTATTTTTAAAAAAAATCTATTTTCAGCCAGGTGGTGGTGGTGCAGACCTTTAATCCAAGCCCTCAGGAGGCAGAGGAAGAGGGATCTTTGTGTGTTTGAGGCCAGCCTGGTCTATAGAGTGAGTTCCAGGAGTGATAAGGCTGCACAGACAAACTTTGTTTTGAAAAACAACATAAATCAAAATGTATTTACTATTTTTATGTGTATGTCGTGTGCCTGCATGGATTTATTTATGCCACATGCATGCAGGAGCCTTTGGAAGCCAGGACAGTGTGCTGGATACATTGGACCTGGCATTACACGGTTATGAGTCTTCATGTAGGTGCTGGGAACTCAACGTTGGTCCTCTTCAAAAACATCTCTCTAGCCTGGAGAGTCATAGTTCTAGAAACAATTCAAGGACATTGCGAGGTAAAATTAAATCTGACTTAATTGATACCTGATACTTTTTGTATAAATAACACTGATCTTTTCTGTTGCTTCGAAATCTGGGATGTAACTCTCTTTATCTCTTATCTTCACCTTTCTTCACAAAGTTTATGTGAAGAGTTAGCTGGAGCCTTAAGTGGAAATATTTCAAAGTCTCATTAGCCAGGCCAACGTGGAAAGGGTTGTGCGGTTGTGCGAGGCAGAATGACCTTGACCTTCTGACCCTCCCGCCCCCACCTCCTTTACCAGCCTGGCTTTGCACACGCTAAGCAGCTAAGCAGCCACCTGAGCTCCGTCCTGGCCTGGGAAACCGTTCTGAGCAGTTCTTCTGCCACCATAACAACATCCCTTCCACAGGCTTTTCAAACTCTCAGGATTTTTTTTTTTTTGATTTGTTTTGTTTTTTGTTTGCTTGTTTTTGGAGGCAGCTAACCGCAAAGAGAGAAAAATGTTTTTATGAAAGTTTTTCGAATGACAATTTTGTGAGTTTATGATAAATGGGGAAACAATTTATAATTACTTAATAGCCAGAATTTACAGTGCTTTGGGGAACCAGAGAAAGAAGACGGATGTCTAAACACCATGCTGAAGTGCTTCCAGACTCCATATGTGAGGCGGAATTATTCACAGAGCAGATGAGGAACCAGTTCCGAGAAGTTCAAAGGGTCACAGAGCAAACGGGAGCTCAGAGTGACTTCCTTCTGCCACGGCGCATTCTGCAAACCACTGGAGGACAATCATGAATTTATGTCGTGTTGTGTTGGGGGAGGCTGAGCACGTGTGTGTCATGGTGCACGTATGGAGGTCATAGTCAGTGCTCACCTTCCATCCTGTGCATCCTCAGGTGGACCCGACCCTCGCAACTCCTGCCCATCTCTGTCCCCACCCATTTTGCCCTCCCTGCCCATTGAGCCCCCACTCATCTTAGCCCCGCCCATCCTATCTTCAATCCACAAGGACACTTGCTTTATTTTCACACTCAGAATTCTCTATTTCTCAGACCTATGTAAAATACGTTTTTATCACTATTATTTTTTGTGGCCTAGGTAAGACTGGCCTTGAACGCTGATTTTCCCGCCTCCCGAGTGCTGGGATTGCAGGCGTGTGTCACAGCGTCTCACGTCTCACAATGTAACCCTTACTCACTTCTATGTCTCTGACGCAATGACTGCTCTTCTGTTTCCTTTACTAAAGCAGCATTCTGTTTAGGAAACAACTTATAACAAATAAATAATAGCTTTACAGGAGCCCAAGGAGAATTCATTAATATTTTCTATTTATTAGGGAAAATGAGGTTTGAATTTCCTGTGAAAAGCAGGCCGGGCTTTGCAGCAGGAAGTCTGGCACAAGCCTGTCTCCCGGAGGCTGACCTGAGACTCAGCAGTGCCCACACGTCCTCTTCTTCGCGTCCCGTGTGCCTACCCTCCTCCCGTGGGAGCACAATGGTAATGACCAACACATGGGAGGAATTGGACTCTGACCAGGCAGAGAAACTCAACCACCACCATCTTATTATTAATCACGGGAAAACATCAGTGCTACTTTGATCATACTTGTCTATATCACAACAATCATTACTAACTTTCTCCTAAACTTGAGGACACACATAACGCATTTGTGGGGGAGCAGGCCTGACAGGATGGACCCTCACGATGCAGCCCAGCTGACCGTACTCATGGTCTTCTGGCCTCAGTCTCCCAGATGTGAAGTTTCTGAGCATGTGCCGCCACATCTGGTGCCAGAGCTCATTAACCCCTCTTTCTTAGATCAGAAAAAGAAAGAGGCTCACAGAGGAGAATCATACAGCAGAGCCTACTTCCTACAACACCTGTGGCCTTGCTTCAACTGAGGAACAACAATCACGTGTGGCTTGAAGTTTCCCACAGAGATAAGGTGAGAAGACACCACACTGTGAACAGCAAAGCATCCTCAAAACACCTTAGCTCTTCTTGTTTTCCAGAAGACAGACCTTCGGGAGTCTCCGAAATCCCAAAGGGATTATAAAGTCAGATACATGACTGCAGACTGCAGATACTTATCAACGGGAGGGCGCTCTCCTGGCTTGTGCGAGGCCTTGTGTTCAATCCCCAGCACCACAGAAAAGCAAAACTACATGGACTTCAACACCCTTAGATATGTAAGATCGGTGATCAGGAGCCGGGCTTAGGGAGAGCCCTACCACAGGTAAACTTGGAGCTACTCCTGGATGCACAGAGACTCTTTAGTAAGAGGGTTCAGAACGCATGTAAAGGCACTGGACTGCACACCACGGGAGCCTTTGCTACAGTCCAGGGCCGCTGCAGCACTTACCCGTCCATCGGTTGGCAGCTTCCTTGGCTACTTTATTTGCTTGACCTGGAAGAAAAAGGATAAAATGACATGTATATTAATACATATAAAACTAGCTCCAACCCTCTAGAAATATACACCAAAGTATTAAAAATTACACATATTATAAATTACCATGAGAAAGCTCAAGTAGTGTTATAACATTGTATCTTAAAAATGCTTGAGAAAACTTTAGATCTTTGCAATTGTGTTAGCAAAGAACAGCCAGCCAGTGTGAACACCTTCCCTTTCTAAACGACCATCTCCACACACCATTTCTTTAAAGCACAGGGCTACTTTACACCTTTGTTTGTTTACTTATTGTGGGGGGCAGGTGTGGGGGCACAGGGCACCCCTGCAGCAGCCAGCATGTTTAACCTCTGAGATACCCTGCCATCCCCAAAAGTACACGTTTAAATGAGATGTTTCTCAACCTACCATATCAAAATGATAAAACAACTTATTGGTAAGAGTTTTACTCTATTTTTTTATTTTTGCTTTTTGTTTGTTTGTTTTTTGAGACAGGGTTTCTCTGTGTAGCTCTGGTTATCCTGGAACTTACTCTGTAGACCAGGCTGGACTTGAACTCACAGAGATCCACCTGTCTCTGCTTCCCACGTGCTGGGATTAAAGGTGTGTATGACTACTGCCCAGCTTACTCTAGATATTCTTAGGCTCGGTAAATCTTGACTTTTAAACATTTTAGAAATAAAGCTGGGCATGGTGGTTCACATCTTTAATCCAAGCACTTGGAAGGCAGAGGCACGAGGATCTCTGTTAAGTTCAGGTCAGACTGGTCTACAGACAACACAATCCCCACCCTCTAGCCCCTAACAGCCACCATTTGCTTTCTACCTTACGGCTCTACCCTGTGGGGATACTTTATATGAAGGAAGTGTGTTCTCTTGAGTGTGGTTCAGGGTTCATCATAAACCAGTATCTACTATCTCATATAATAAACTACATTTCACAATTTGCTTACCCATTCATCTGCTGACAGACAATGGACCATTCCATGAACCCAAACAATAATTGCACTGAGCATATTCTCAATTCTCTTGAGCATGAGTCTAACAACAGAACTGATGACTCATATGTTTGTGCTATTTTGAGAGTGGATAATTCTTTGTTTCTTTGAGACAGGGTCTTACCTTAAGTTCCTGGCTCAGCTGGAACTTATATAGGTCAGGCTAGCCTCAAACTTGCCAATCTTCCTGCCTCTGCCTCCTAACTGATAGGGTTGTAAATGCATGTCACTACACCTGGCCTTTACTTTTTAAACTACCTGAACCACTTTGTAATCCTACCAGCTACACAGGGCTCCAATTCTCCATATCCTCAGCAACACTTGTCTTTAAAACAACAAAACAAAACTGTAGTCAGCTGGGGCTGGAGAGATGGCTCAAGGGTTAACAGCATTGGCTGCCTTCTCAGGAGACCTGGGTTCAACTCCCAGCATTTGCATGGCAGCTCTGATTCAGGGAATCCAATGCCTCCTTCTGCAAGGAGGAACTGCATCTACACGATGAACACATATTCAAATAATTACTGTTGAATTATCTATTTGTCTTTTTAATTCTTTAAGCTTTTGTTCCATGTATTTTAGCATTCTTGTGTTAGTTACATATGTTAGTTTTCTGTTGCTAGGATAAACACCATGGCCAAAGGCAACCTAAGGGGGAAAGTCTTTTGGTTTACAGTTCCAGAAGAACCATCATGGTGAGGAGGGACAGCAGCGGGCTCTGGAGGGACACGGTGGCGGGACATGGAGGAGGGGTATGGAGGAGGAACATGGAGGAGGGACACGGTGGAGGGACATGGAGGAGGGGCATGGAGGAGAGACATGGAGGAGGGACATGGAGGGGGAACATGGAGGAGGGACATGGAGGAGGAACATGGTGGAGAGACATGGAGGAGGGACATGGAGAAGGGACATGGAGGAGGGACATGGAGGAGGGGCATGGAGGAGGGACATGGAGGAGGGGCATGGAGGACGGACATGGAGGAGAGACATGGAGGAGGGACATGGAGGAGGGGCATGGAGGAGGGACACGGAGGAGGGACATGGAGGAGGGACATGGAGGAGGGACATGGAGGAGAGACATGGAGGAGGGACATGGAGGAGGGACATGGTGGAGGGACATGGAGGAGGGACATGGAGAAGGGACATGGTGGAGGGACATGGAGGAGGGACATGGAGGAGGGACATGGAGGAGGGACATGGAGGAGAGACATGGAGGAGGGACATGGAGGAGGGGCATGGAGGAGGGACACGGTGGAGGGACATGGAGGAGGGACATGGAGGAGGGACATGGAGGAGGGACATGGAGGAGAGACATGGAGGAGGGACATGGAGGAGGGACATGGAGGAGGGACATGGTGGAGGGACATGGAGGAGGGACATGGAGAAGGGACATGGTGGAGGGACATGGAGGAGAGACATGGAGGAGGGACATGGAGAAGGGACATGGTGGAGGGACATGGAGGACGGACATGGTGGAGGGACATGGAGGAGGGACATGGAGGTGGGACATGGTGGAGGGACATGGTAGGACACGGTGGAGGGTCATGGAGTAGGACACGGTGGAGGGACATGGAGGAGGGACATGGAGGAGAGACATGGAGGAGGGGCATGGAGGAGGGACATGGAGGAGGGACACGGTGGAGGGACATGGAGGAGGGACATGGAGGAGGGACATGGAGGAGGGACATGGTAGGACACGGTGGAGGGTCATGGAGTAGGACATGGTGGAGGGATAGTAGCGGGCACTGGAGGGAAATGTGGCAGCAAAAGGGAGCTGAGAACTCACATCTTCAAATACAAGCAGGAAGCAAAGCTCAAACAGAAAGGAGGAAAAGTTGGACCTCTCAAAACCCACCTCCCGTCAAACGTCCTCCACTTAGGCTACATCTCCTCGACCTGCCGAAGAGTGGCATCAGCTGGGAACCAGGGTTCAAATGCTGGAGCCCGAGGGAGACATTTCTCATTCTACAGCTATGCACGTCTGTAACTTGTACCTGCTGACCCTTCATCATCATCATAACTGCACTTTTCCACCCTAGCAATAACTTCCCAGAGTCTACTTTCCTTGCTCTTAGTTTAGCTGCTAGGACCTCTTTCAATTACTGTCTCCAAGTCTTCCTCTAGCCTTTTACTTTCGACATATTTTAGTCTTTAAATATGAGTCTCTTGTAGGTGGTATATAATTAGCTTACTAGTTTCCTTCAATTTTGGCCTTCCTAACCTTTTAATTGGAAAACAAGCCATTTTCACTTAGTATAATTATGATATGATTTACATGACATTTTGTCATTTCCCATGTGTGGTGCTTTGAGTGAAATTTTTTTCTCATATTTGAACACTTGGTGCCCAGCTGGTGGCGCTGTTTGAGGAACCCTTTAAAGATGGGGCCTCGCTGGAGGAAGCCTGTCACTGGGAGAGGGCTGTGGGAGTTTACATCCTCATGCCATGTCCCATCAATGCTGTTTTCCACTCTCAGGCCTCCCTCATCACTAGGGACTCATTCCCAGGCTGTTCTGGGTCCTGTTGTCTTTCATCACCGCAGCAGAGAGGAGCTAAGGCACTACGGCAAGTGTCCCCGTCGCCCTTCAATAGTCCCAAATCCACGCTTGTGTTAAGTGGAATTATTTAAAGTTTCCCTCCCTCCCTCCACTCCTCCCCCCCCCCTCAAATTTCTGCGCTCTGAAATAGAAAGGAAAACTGAGGATGACACTCGGGTTTTTGCACTCCAGGAAAATACAAAAGAAACGTAACTCCTACCTCCCCGGCTGTTTCTTGTACCAGGTATCTTGAGGGTAGTTTTATTATCTTTTGGTGACTATTCTGCGGACTGCCACTAACTACAGAAAATTCAGATAAATATCAACCTAATTTCCACCCGTCTTTCCCTGCTGTATGTATACACCATGTCCACCCTCCAGGTTATGCCGGTATTGCCACAGACTGTATTCTATATACTGTGTGGTCGATGCAGACAGTGCTGCTTACACAACTATGTCCTAAATCAAAGGAAATATACAGAAGTCTGTATATTGTTTGTTTGCTTAAATCACTGGTGATTTCTTTCTTTATATTGAACAAATTGAGTTCTAAGGTCAGGTATAAGCTAGTAGTTGTTCATTCGAGTTGAGTTCCAAGGTTGGGTATAACTAGTAGTTGTTCACTTGAGTTGAGTTCTAAGGTCGGGTATAACTAGTAGTTGTTCACTCAAGTTGAGTTCTAAGGTCGGGTATAACTAGTAGTTGTTCACTCGAGTTGAGTTCTAAGGTCGGGTATAAGCTAGTAGTTGTTCACTCGAGTTGAGTTCTAAGGTCGGGTATAACTAGTAGTTGTTCACTCGAGTTGAGTTCTAAGGTCGGGTATAACTAGTAGTTGTTCACTCGAGTTGAGTTCTAAGGTCGGGTATAAGCTAGTAGTTGTTCACTCGAGTTGAGTTCTAAGGTCGGGTATAACTAGTAGTTGTTCACTCGAGTTGAGTTCTAAGGTCGGGTATAACTAGTAGTTGTTCACTCGAGGGTCTTTTATTCTGCTTGTTATCTCTGAAGGAACTGTTTCTAGATATAGAAACCTTGATTGACAGCTTTCCTTCAGTATTTTGAACATGTTCTCCTCCTGTGCTTTTGGCCTCTCTATTTTCTAAGTAGAAACAGCAGTTAATTTTAGCAAAGATCCCCAATTGTGACGACTTGCTTCTTTCTTGCTACTTCCAGAGTTGTCCTTAGTTAGGACAATCTGACCATGATGTGGTACAGGCCTGCGAATCTGGAACTGCTTCCTGGTTGTTCGTTCTTCCTCACATCAGGAAGTTTCTGTTGAACCACCTTCCGACCTGGTTTTCTCTGCAGCTGGCTCAAAGCTCTGTCACTACAGTTACTGCAGTTTTAGACTCCAGAGTTCCCACTTGGCTCTTCTGGTTTGATTTCTGTTTCTTTAATAATATTATCTTTGTGAGATAACGTTAGGCCTGTCTTTACTTTTTAGACAGGTCTCCTTCAGTGGACATTGAGAACAGCTCACTAAAATGTTTTTCTGTTATGCTTCCTCAGAACAGTTTCTACTGAGGACTTTAACTGTGGCTTGTGGGGAGCATTTCTTGTTTCTTTGCATGTCTTATAATTTTTTAATACAAAACTGCACACTTAAAATATAACGTGGAAGCTAGGCAGTGGTGATGATGGCACATACCTTTAATTCTAGAACTCAAGAGGCAGGGACAAGTTGATCTCTGAGTTTGAGGCCAATCTGGTCTACAAAGCACATTTTAGGACAGCCAGGGCTTCACAGAGGAACCCTGCTTCAAAAAACTCAAAGTGGAGAGGGGGAGGAGAACAAAACCAAAATCAACAATAACAACAACAACAACAACAAACCAGAATTGAAGTTGCCCAGGCTGGTCTTGACCTTTCAATCTCTGTGCCTCAGTCTCCCACGCAGCACGGGACACCACACCTGACTTACTTTCAAGTATGTTTGTGGGAATTTAGTTTCTACCACTAGTTTTATCTAGTCTTGTTCAAATAGTGGTTGACTTGGCTAAAAATAGTACTACATGGGGCTGGAGAGATGGCTCAGAGGTTAAGAGCATTGCCTGCTCTTCCAAAGGTCCTGAGTTCAATTCCCAGCAACCACATGGTGGCTTATAACCATCTGTAATGGGGTCTGGTGCCTTCTTCTGGCCTGCAGGCATACACATATACAGAATATTGTATACATAATAAATAAATAAATATTTAAAAAAATAGTACTACATAAGGCTATTACGTTGACCTTACTTCCCTGGTTACTTACAAATTAAACTTGTCAATGAAATCAATTATCCAACTGGAATATTTGCTGAACTACAAATATTTCCTACAGGCATTTTTAAAATTGATTTTTATTGAGCTCTACATTTTTGTTTTCTGCTTCTCTCCCTTACTCTCTCCTCCCCTCTACCCTCTCCCATGGTCCCCATGCACCCAATTTACTCAGGAGATCTTGTTTTTTTCTACTTCCCATGTAGATTAGATCCATGTATGTCTCTCTTAGGGTCCTCTTTGTTGTCCAGGTTCTCTGGTGTTGTGAACTGTAGGCTGGTTTTCTTTACTTTTTGTCTAAAAGCCACTTATGAGTGAGTACATATGATATTTGTGTTTCTGGGCCTGGGTCTGGATTACCTCATTCAAATATGATGTTTTCTAGATCCATCCATTTGCTACAGGCATTGTGTTAAGAAAGAGATAATACATAAGCATGTCTTTGTGAACTATTATCAGGAAAGTGTATCCCACATGACTCAAGGATAGCCTGGATAAGACTAAGTGTTGGAAAGTGGCTATGGGAGCTTGCTGTTGAGTTAAATCCTATTAAAATCAATTTATAAAGCATGTAATCCTTGAGCCCAGTTCTTCCTGCACTAACCTGATCACTGAAATCCTTTGAAAGTCTTCATTATAAAGAAGCACATTGCCATTTGGGGTCGGAAGTTAGACCCTAGTAAAGTTGTTTAAATTTAATAAGGTTTAAATTTAGACATTTCTGACATCTGTACTAACAATTTTAAGTTCTTAGATCTGTGGAATTTGTGGTTTTCATTAAAATTTTTCATGAATAATTTATAATATCTACTGCATGGGTGTAGGGACCTGAGCAGTAGCCAGAGAACAATCTGCTTCATAAAAACTTAAAAACAATTGTTTTTACAGATATTTTCCTGGTCCAGCAATCACTCCACTCCTTTCTGAGTTTCATTACACATATGTTAGGTTAGGCTGTTCTCAGACCATGGATGCCAGCTTGATGGTTAACGTTTTCTGTTTGCTATGTCTTCAAATACACTAATCTGTTCTTGGACAAAAAGTAATCTGTTCTTAATCCACTGTTAACTCCCGTGTCAAACACAGTCTTCCTGTCAACAAGTTTGACGTGGGTCTCTGTGATACCTTTCATAATGACTCTTGAGTTTCTAACCCATGGACGCTGTAAGCGTTTTAATGCTCTGCCCTGCTGGATGTGCTTCTGGTCCAGCACTGACCGACAGATCACCCTGTTTGCTGTGTGTGACATCCTCCTAGTATCTGCACAGCTGGTATATTGACCTGCATCCCAAACACACACACACACACACACACACACACACACACTTATATTTAGGGTTCAACAATAAACAGTGAAGGAAACACGCAGACAAAAAAAACCTCAACCTTTGAAAGCAAAACAAATTCTTTTTGCTAGGTGACTTTGGATTTTTAAAACTATTCCCAAGCTTGTTGTGGGACCTGCTAAGATACCTGGCAACAGTTTGATGCTTTCCATCCTGAGTGTCCTGGTGGTGAGTGATATCTAGAAGTAATGTCAGCAGAAGCCAACTGCCCCAGGACACACCTGGGCAGTACCAATGAGAGCGAACACTGACAACTAGTAAGTAGAGAAAAAACGGAACAGATGCAAAGAAGAGCTGCTCTGGGGCTGCAGAGAGGGCTCAGAGGTCAAGAGCATGGCCACTCTTCCAGAGGGCCTGAGTTCAATCCCAGCAACCACATGGTGACTCACAACCATCTGTAGTGAGATCTAGAGCTCTCTTCTGGCATGTAGGCAAACATGCAGACAGAATACTGTATACATAATAAATAAGTAAAAATGGAGATGGAGGAAGAAGAGGAGGAGGACTGGTGTTCCAAGGAAAGTGGTAGAATCACTGCACACCAGGGGGCTGGTGTTGGTCTCTAAAATCAAACATTTTATAAAGAGACAGAGATTTTCACCAAGAGCTGGAAGCGGAGCTCTCCGAGATAGTCATCTCTGTGAGTTCAGGGTTAGGGAGACAGGTCTGCACACAGACTTTTTACATCACCCTAAAGCTGGCACTACAACAGCTACTCGAACTGAAAGTTGTGACAACGTCAGAGGAGCAGGAGAAAAAGGAGGTGGTGCTGACCAGCCAGCTGGCCTACTTTTCATCAGGCTCAACAGGGAAGAAGTCAGCGGTGTGGTGTGCCTGAAGGTCCCCAGAGCTTCAGACCTGCTTCTTCCCCAGGCTCCACACCCTCAGGTGACTTGCTCTCAGGGCCATAATGGCAGTACCTGCAAGCGGTTCCTGAAAAGCTTTTGTTTTCCCAGAAAGACAATCTGACCCTCACACTCCTGGACTGGGTCTGCTCCTCTCACTGCCGTTTTGCAATCTAACAGCTTTTCCGTACGGCAGCACTTTTTCCGCTTAGCTGACTTCTCTCCTTTTTACTGTATTTACATTCTATACTTCTTAGTCAGCGTCAATAAAGCTTCCACTCTGTGGTCTCCATGTATGTTCACAGGTATTTCCTGGGACAGGTGACCCGGACTGTACTGAAATCCCAGCCCTCTGGAGGCTGAGGCCAGCCTGGGCCAAAAGACAACACACATGTGCATGTGTGTGCTGGGCCGCACACTGGATTAACTATAATCCAACTACAACACACATGTGCATGTGTGTGCTGGGCCGCACACTGGATTAACTATAATCCAACTACAACACACATGTGCATGTGTGTGCTGGGCCACACATCGGATTAACTATAATCCAACTACAACACACATGTGCATGTGTGTGCTGGGCCACACACTGGATTAACTATAATCCAACTACAACACACATGTGCCTGTGTTGTGCTGGGCCGCACACTGCATTAACTATAATCCAACTACAACACACATGTGCATGTGTGTGCTGGGCCGCACACCAGATTAACTATAATCCAACTACAACACACATGTGCATGTGTGTGCTGGGCCGCACACTGGATTAACTATAATCCAACTACAACACACATGTGCATGTGTGTGCTGAGCCGCACACTGGATTAACTATAATCCAACTACAACACACATGTGCCTGTGTGTGCTGGGCCACACACTGGATTAACTATAATCCAACTACAACACACATGTGTCTGTGTGTGCTGGGCCGCACACTGGGTTAACTATAATCCAACTATGCTCAGGCTACTTCTAAAGTACCAAGTAGTCCCAGGTTTCTCAAAGTCTCAGTCATGTGCTATGTCATATCTTTTAAAAAGTTATACATATTTTCCTAACAATTAAAATCTCTATCATTATGCTTTTTAAAATCTGTAAGTGTTAAATTTTATGTTTCTATAAATACATTAATAATACCAAGATTTGAAGATTCTGTTTTAAAATTGAAGGAAGGCAGGCAAGATGGCTCTGTAGCTAAAAGGTGCTGCCACCAAGCCTGATGACCTGAGTCAAATTCCTGGAATCCGTGTGGTGAAAGGAGAGAACCAGCTACTGTAAGCTGCCCTCTGACCTCCACACACGAGGAAGAAAATCACTGATACACACATAAGGCAAGCTCTTGTATTTCTAGTATCCTTTTCTTAGACGGTATTAGCAGATTTCTTCATGGCCCGGAGGTGGAAGACCAAAGTGCTTCTCTGACCTCTCTGTGTCCTGTCTTATGTCTGTCTGTCCTACCACCTTTTACTTCCTGCTTTATTTCAGAAATGCTTCCCGTGTCAGAGCTGAGAGCACTCAGCTGTCTCGTGAGCCCGTGACACAGAGTGAACATGCAGACATGAACTTACGGATCTCTTCCACTACTTGTGGGTCACATTCTCTGTATTTTTCAACTTCTGCCTTAAGTTGATCCCTTTGGTCCCGAAATGAAGAAAGTTCTTTTACAAGCACGGCTCGTTCTTCCTAGAGGTAAAGGATTTCATGTACAGTTAGGCCAAATCATGTAGCAGGTGTCCTTGGATCTCCAGCCCCCAAATCATCACAAGAAAACTTATTATTAATTATCAATGCTCAGCCTTAACTTAGGCTTGTTTCTGGCTCGCTTTTTAAACTGAAATTAACCCATTTCTATCATTCCATGTGTTTCCCTGAGGCTTGTTTACCTCATTTACTCTGTTGGTCCTGCTTTCCTGCTTCCCCCATGTCTGGCTGGCTGGCTCCCCTTTCCTCTCGGCCCACCAGCCCCACCTATCCCTCTTCTGCCTAGCTATTGGTTGTTCAGATTTTCATTAGACCAATCAGGTACCTTAGGTAGGCAAGGTAAAACAGCAATACATCTTTACATAGTTAAACAAATGCAAAAATCTTTATAGAGTTAACAATTATTCTGCAATACAACAAATGTAATACATCTTTACATAGTTAAATAAATATTCTATTCCGCAACAAAATAAATCTCATGTGTAATGAAGTAATAAATTCTGTAAACACATGTATATGACATATATAATCAGCTCCCAGTATCCACAGGTTCCTCATTCATATCAAAACCCCGAAAAGAGAGAAAATACACCTACACTACACATACACAGACATTTCCTTCAGTGTCACTCTCTATGACGTAACAGGAAGAAATGTTTACAGAGCACTTCTGTTGTAGTAGGAATTACAAGTAATCTAGAGATTATTTAAAATATCTGACGATTAATAAGATATATGCAACTGTTGTGTCATTTTATAAACATACATTACATTTACGTGTAAATACATTTTACATAGGTATTATATAGAGACATACATAACTGACATGGTCCCTGTCAGGCTTGGCAGCAAGCACCTACACCTGTGAGCCCCATGAGAAAACCTAAAGGAACTGGAGCATCCAGATTTTAGTATCACAAGGTCTTGGAGCCGGTTCCTCAGTGGACAAACCTCAGTGTACACACAAATATGCACAGTGTAAGAACAAGCCTTAGTGTACACACAAATATGCCAGTGTAAGAACAGGCCTCAGTGTACACACAAATATGCCAGTGTAAGAACAACCTAATCCCACCCTCTGAAACCTCGTGCTGTTCATATATAATAATTAAATAATGATATGTAGAAAGAACAATAAAAAGCAGGCAAGAAGAGATGGTTACACATGGATGTACTCAAAGAGGATGACGTCATCATACACCAGAGGAAAGGTCACTCTGCTTTCTGGGTAATTTCACGGCTTGCGCTCATGCACGTAAGTCATGGTTTCTAGCAACATTAATCATTAAACAATTGTACTTCAAAAAGTGTTTGAAGAAATGTTGTAGATTTTTTCAACTTTAAATGATTAACCTTTATAAATATTTAAGGGGATCAGAAATGGCCTCCTGTCATTTTTCTTTCAAGGTGAACCAAATAAGGCTCTTCAATAGCATAAGCCAACAGGCACCCTCTGACATTTCAGACAGAGCCCTCATCAACACAGAGATGTCATATTGCCACGACTGTGTGACTGACACTTGTGAACCCTAAAAAGTAATTCATACAAAATCAAATGCTGGCAAAGATTCCCAGACAAATACAAGGTAGAAATCGAAGTTCAAGTGGCCTGAATGGTGCCAGCCTAAGGCTTCCTGCCATCCGTATGTCCTATTTGTACCCTGGCTTTGGTTTTGCTACTGTTCCTGCTGTCTACAAAATACCATGCTCTAGAAGAGACTAGCCCAACAGAACAGTGCATGCTGGGAACAACCTAGCTCTGTACGTTCCAGCACAGGGTCATTGGTCACATGTCCATGCACTATGGCAGTTGTGTCTGGAAACTGAACTGTGTATGATTTAAATGTAAGGGGTGAATATAATTAGTAAATACTGTATTGACACAGCTCAGAGAAGTCCAAGGCTAACTAGGATGTACCACAATGGTTACCACCTGCTGTCTACACCCCGGTTAAACACGCTTCCACAGAGGAAAGACGAGGACAGGAGGAGCAAAGGGTGAAGGTCTGTGTGAGCGCAGTGGCCACACTCCAAGCACTGGCTATGAAATCTCTGCCATGACAGTTAATGTCAGCATGCTTCTGGTTCCTCAAACACAAGACTGGAGATCATAATGGCAGCTCCTTCTTATACTGCTGGCAAGCAAAACGCACTTAGAAAGTTCCTGACAAAGTGCCCGGTGTTAGTGACTTCTTCAGCAACATTTCCATGGCTGATCCCTAACAGACAGGGGGCAGTGAGGCTTCCGTAGGAGCTTTCTGGTTAGATGCCCTTCTGCTGGCGGAAGCTCCACTGTGCCTCAACTGACAGGAGGCCCCGCCCCAGTGCAGCTACACTGGCTAAGAGGACTGACTCACACTCAGCAAACAGTCTGACAGCTTCTAGGGATGTTTATGGCACTACTCACTGATGGTGCTTCTCTCAACTACAGAAAAATTTTGAGCAGGTTTGGGTGACACCTGGATCTTACTTCCTCTTCAGTAATTACAGAAATTCCACCTTCCAGTTCCCATCTGCGACTGTGCTGAAAACTAACAAGAAACAATAAATCTGAAGCAAACGTGGAAGTACCAACTCCCTGTGAACCAGTGCCGTGGTCCTTCCACCACATAACACATCTTCTGCTCCCTGTGAACCAGTGCCGTGGTCCTTCCACCACGTAACACGTCTTCAGACTATTCCCTGTGAATCAGTGCCGTGGTCCTTCCACCACGTAACACGTCTTCAGACTGTTCCCTGTGAACCAGTGCCATGGTCCTTCCACCACGTAACACATCTTCTGCTCCCTATGAACCAGTGCCGTGGTCCTTCCACCACGTAACACATCTTCTGCTCCCTGTGAACCAGTGCCGTGGCCCTTCCACCACGTAACACATCTTCTGCTCCCTGTGAACCAGTGCCATGGTCCTTCCACCACGTAACACGTCTTCAGACTGTTCCCTGTGAACCAGTGCCGTGGTCCTTCCACCACATAACACGTCTTCAGACTGTTCCCTGTGAACCAGTGCCGTGGTCCTTCCACCACGTAACACATCTTCTGCTCCCTATGAACCAGTGCCGTGGTCCTTCCACCACGTAACACATCTTCTGCTCCCTGTGAACCAGTGCCGTGGTCCTTCCACCACGTAACACATCTTCTGCTCCCTGTGAACCAGTGCCATGGTCCTTCCACCACGTAACACGTCTTCAGACTGTTCCCTGTGAACCAGTGCCGTGGTCCTTCCACCACATAACACGTCTTCAGACTGTTCCCTGTGAACCAGTGCCATGGTCCTTCCACCACGTAACACATCTTCTGCTCCCTATGAACCAGTGCCGTGGTCCTTCCACCACGTAACACATCTTCTGCTCCCTGTGAACCTGTGCCGTGGTCCTTCCACCACGTAACACATCTTCTGCTCCCTGTGAACCTGTGCCGTGGTCCTTCCACCACGTAACACATCTGCTCCCTGTGAACCAGTGCTGTGGTCCTTCCACCACGTAACACATTTTCTGCTCCCTGTGAACCAGTGCCGTGGTCCTTCCACCACGTAACAAATCTGCTCCCTGTGAAGTGGTCCTTCCACCACGTAACACATCTGCTCCCTGTGAACCAGTGCTGTGGTCCTTCCACCACGTAACACATCTTCTGCTCCCTGTGAACCAGTGCCGTGGTCCTTCCACCACGTAACACATCTTCTGCTCCCTGTGAACCAGTGCTGTGGTCCTTCCACCACGTAACACATCTTCTGCTCCCTGTGAACCTGTGCCGTGGTCCTTCCACCACGTAACACATCTTCAGACTGATTCCTTTCACTATCCAGTGACAGAAATCGAGGCCAAGGCCCAGCGACTACTAGTGCCTGCTGACTTTAGTGTTAAAATATAAAGATTTTGCTCATTGTTTGTCATTCATTTCTTCCCCATGGTGGTGTGTTTGCCTAGCATGCACAAAGCCCTGGCTTCCAACTCTAGTACCACAAGAAAGAAAGAACTAGACCTGCCTCTCTGCCCCATCCCTCTGTCATGGCCACCACCTCTGCAGGCACTTCCTGGGAACCTGCCTGTCTCATCCTGAGCTCTGGAGCAGACCACCTGCCTCAGCCTCGTCTTCCTGTCTGCCCCATCTCTAGCAGGTCACAGGCCTCTCCCAGGTGGCCACACTGCCCCTCCCCCACATCACTTTGTCTGAGTCTCTGAGAAGCCAACAGACCACCAGTTCCTGCCTCTCCTCCTTCTCTGCACTCATTCCCAGGGGACTAAGCAGATCCTGGAGGCACACCCTGTATTCCTCCCTCAGGCGACCTATCAGCCCTCCCAGCCCCCAACCCCGCTTCTAGCCCAGCTAGCACATATCTCCACTAGAGCCCGGTGACCCCACCATAACAGGCCCTGAGAAGTGCAGTAGAGACATTTTGAAGATAGGGACTTCAAAATAGCCTTTATGAATATGTTAGAGGTCCTAAAAGGGGAAACTAATAATTCATTAAAGAAATCTATGAAAACACAAACAGTGGAATGAAATGAAGAAAACAGTTTGAGAACTGCAGGGAGAAATAGAATCAATACAGAAAACCCAAACTGAGAGAAAACCAGAAATGAAAATTTAGAAATTCAGACAGGACCCTCAGAGGCAAGCCTCACCAACAGAATACAAAAGATGGAAGAGAGAATCTCGGGCATTGAAGAAAAGATTTAAGAAATAGATAGCCTGGTCAAAGAAAATGTTAAATCTAAGAAATACAGGCATAAAAGATCCAGGACATCCGGGACATTGTGAAAAGACCAAATCTATGAATAACAGGAACACAGGAAAAAGCAGAAACACAAAGCAAAGCTGCAGTAAATATTTCCAACAAAATCGTAGAAGAAATTTCCCCAATCTAAAGAAGGTAGAACCTATACAGGACTCCAGAGAGGACCAGAAAAGAAATCCCACGCCACATAATAATCAAAGCAGCAAACACACAGAGCAAAGCAGGAGTATTACAAACCAAATAACTATTAGAATAATGCCCACTTCCCAATGGAGACTCCAAAACCCAGAAGGGTCTAGAGAGACTCTTAGATCCAACCCCAACTTCTATACCCAGGAAAACTTTCCATCACAATAGGTGGACAAATAAAGAACTTCCATAATAAAACCAAATTCCAGCAGTTTTGTATCTATAAACCTAGCTCTACAGAAGGCACCAGAGCAGTGGCCCTCCCCCTTCCCAAAGCTGCAGCCTGTAATACAGCTCCATGTTGTGCTGACCCCAACTGCTGTGGGATAGTCCTCCTGTGCACTGTAAAGATTTGTCACTCGAACTGGTTTAATAAAACGGTGGCTGGCCAGTAGCCAGGCAGGAAGGACAGGTGGGATTACCCAACTAAAGATGATGGGGAGAAGGGCAGAATGAGGAGAGAGAGTAGGTGGGTGTGCCATACTGAGAAAAGGAACTGTCATGTGGCAGAGCGTAGATAAGGAATATGGGTTAACATAAATGTTAAAGTTAGCTAGTAATAAGTCTGAGCATTTATAAATAAATAAGGAATATGGGTTCACGTAAATGTTAAAGTTAGTTAGTAATAAGTCTGAGCATTTATAAATAAATAAGGAATATGGGTTCACGTATATGTTAAGTTAGTTAGTAATAAGTCTGAGCATTTATAAATAATTTTAAGTCTAATTTTAAGCATTTGTAATAATATTAAGTCTCTGTGCTAACTTGAGAAGTGGCTGCCGGGTATTTAGGAACAGGAGGGTGGGAGAGAAATATTTGATTACACCCAACCTTAAAAGTATTTTTGTTGCTACTTCATAACTGTAATTTTTCAACTGTTATGAATTGTAACTATCTATGTTTTCTGATGGTCTGGGCTGACCATTGTGCTAACTGGAATCACCTTGCCTTTGGCAATTCAGTGCTGCCACCTGGCCCCGGCTACTTCAGGTCCCAATTAAACCCACTGCCCTTAATCTGTCGAACTTGAGGAGCAGCATCTCCAGCCCTAAGGTCTGGCACAGGGAAGGGGTGACAGCAAGGCTCTCTAGATGAGCTGATGCCCCATCACCATTTTATGTCTTATAGGATTCGTGAAGAACATGTCTCTTCTGTGTCCCCACAGTGGATGATAGGTTTTACAGGGAGCCCACTCCTGCACTGCAATTCTCCTCAGTCTTAAAATCCCTTCATCGACCCTAAGCCAAGGGATATCAGGCATCTCCACCTTTCTTTTCACTGGGCCATCTCTTGACAAACGCTTCAGCCAATCATTCAAACAAACGTTTTGGCATTTTTTTAAACTGAGAAAGCGTCTATACCAAACTGAGAATCTCCATTCAGTGAGCCCATAGCAAAAAACTCAGGCTGATCCAGTTTTATGCTCTGTCCACATCCTACATCCTTAAACTCAATTTCCACGCACCTTCTCCAGACTTCTGCATGAATAAATTATCAAGCTCATCAAGCTCTCTTGTATTGTAGTGCACCTCCTTTCAATCTCCCTCTAAGGAGCCTGCTTAGCCCTTAGTCTAGTTGTAGGTCTAGAGGTGACCACTGGTTACCTGGAGGTCATCAGTATCACCCTGCCTAGCATCTCCTTAAGGGAAAAGTGACTGCTGGTTTAGCAGATGAAAAATGATTCATTTCCCCGGTCAAGGGCAGCAGAGGCAATATTTCAGGGGATGGGGGAATACATTTTCTGCTGAGGATGAAGTGAGTACCTCCTCAGGAGAGAGAAACCCTTGAAAACCTGAAGATTCAGAGTTCTTAGCCTCCACAGGCTCCTCCCACAGATCTCCACCCTAAGTACAGATCCCATTTTCTACCATGAGTGCCCCTACTTCAACACCCTCAGAGGCTGGGACTTGGATTTTCTGTGGAACTCAGCCAGTCACATAAAGAAGGCTTTGGTTTGATTTTCTGCTCCTTGCACTTGTTGTCCACCACTGTGTCCTGGATGCTAAAAGATAGTTTCATCACAGAGCATATTCTTCCATTACCAGTTTACCCAGAGATGCTTGGAGCAAGCAACTAGCATCTTTATTTCCTCATTTTTTTAGAAACTGTCAAAAATTTCATACATAAAGTCACCAAATCTGTTGCCTCTCACAATTGGTGAATCAGGATAATCTGATGCATTTGACTCCTTAAGTTTGTAAAATAGTTCATACCGTGGGCTTTCAACACTGTCCAAGTGTCTAGGAGAAGCTCCATAACTGGAGAGGCTTCAGAGTAGGGGTCGGAAATTGGAAGACCTATTCTAGATACTTAAAAAATTCATCCTATACTTCTATTGCTCTGGAATCACTTCTGGATATATATCACTAGATAGACGATGGATGGATGGATGGATGAAGGAAAAAATAGGTAGGTAGATAGGTAGATGATAGATAGAAGAAAGAGAAAGAAAGAAAGAAAGAAAGAAAGAAAGAAAGAAAGAAGAAGAAGAGGAGGAAGGAAGGAAGGAAGGAAGGAGCAGGCTCCCTCCTCCCTGTCCTTCACACAGGCTTCCAGCAGAAGGTGTGGCCCAGATGAATAGGAATCTTCCCACCTCAAAAGATCTGCATTAAAAGGGGATCTTCCCTTTAAATGATTTAATCGAGAAAATAATATCTCGCAGTTGTACCTAATCACTTGTGTTTTTGTTAATTCCAGATGTAGTCAAGTTGACAACCAAAAATAGCCATCACAAGGATATTATTATATTGATCATTTTCTATTATGTGCCAAAAGTTTTGACAATTCTTTTATGTGTGTGTGTGTGTGTGTGTGTGTGTGTGTGTGTGTGTGTGTCGAGACAGCTGTGGGTGCTGGGAACAGAACTCTTACATTTTTGGTTGTGAGTATTATCTTTAACAGCTAAGCCATATCTCCAGCCCTACAATTCTTAAAATACCTACCTACATATTTAATAGGGCTTCCTATGTACCAAACGTCCCATTAAACTTCTACAAATACCGACTACTTTAATCCACACCATAACCTAACGAACATGTTCTGTTATCCTCATGTTACAACCCAGAAAGTTAAGAACAAAATTTAGGAGACTTTCAAAGTCAGGCAGCCTGGCTCCAGGGTTTATGCTGCTATCACACACACACACACGAATTCACAGACACAGACTCACGGTCTCTTGCCGGCCAATTCTAGCTTTCTCGATGCTCTTCTGCAGGTCCGCATGCTTCCGGCTTCCCTCCAACAGCTAGAGAGAGAATCAAGCAGATAAAATGGTTTGCTAAGAAACTGCCTGGCAGATAGGATAGAAGATAAAATGAAACAGACTGCAGGTTCAGCTCTAAAGGCCACACTGAAAACTAATGTTTCTAATTTGAAGAAGATTATCAATCATTAGAGCAGAATGAAAGAAAAGTGTCTTAGGGTTACCATTGACTGCTAGACGGAATGGCCATGACCGAAAGGAAGTGGTGGTGGTGGTGGGGGTAATTCAGATTACACTTCCACATCCATAGTGCACCAGAGGAAGTCAGGACAGGATCACAAACAGAGCAGGAAGCTAGAGGCAAAAGCTGATGCAGAGGCCATGGAGGATCTGCTTACTGGCTCCAGCCTGCTTTCTTACAGCCCCCAAAACCACCTGTGCCACCCATAATGCTAGGCTCTCCCCCATCTATCACTAAATAAGAAAATGGTGTTGCACACCTTTAATCCCAGCACTGTGAGTTCAAGGTCAGCCTACTCTACAAAATGAGTTCCAGAACAGTCAAGGCTGTTACACAGAGAAACCCTTCTTGAAAAACAAATAAAAACAGACTGTGCCAATAGACATAAACATTAGCCTACTCAAAAGTAAATGTTTTCTTATTTTATCCCCACCCAAAAAAAGTCTTTTTTTTTTCCCAATTTTTGTTGTTCTGAGACAAGGTCTCAATACATAGTCCTCACTAGCCTGGAACTCAAAGAGAAGAATCTGCCACTGCCTCTCCAGTAGCTGGGGTTAAAGGCCTGTGGCACCACCCCCAGCCATGTCTTCAATATTTTTATGTAATCTTTAGCTGTTTTTTCATCTCTAACCCAAATAACCTCTAAGTTAATAAACTACTTCAAGTTAGTTCAGTTTTAAGTTGGATTTGAAAATTCAAAAATATCTCCTTTAAAACTCTGTACTCAAATTTCATTTCACTTTTGACTAAGGTCTCTGGCGAATACCTCATGCTGTTTCCTGCTGACCTGTACTGTGCAACCCCAGTCAGTCAGTACTATGTCACGACAGTCAGCACCATCTACCTCACTTGTCCCCACTGGAGCATCCACAAGTCCTGCACACGTCACACATCTGTTATCTGCTGCCAATCCTATAAATATTCTTTTAATTTGGTTTTTTGGGACAGGGTTTCTCTGTAGCTTTGGAGCCTGTCCTGGCATTTGCTCTGTAGACCAGGCTGGTCTCGAACTCAGAGATCCGCCTGCTCTGTTTCCCGAGTGCTGGGATTAAAGGTGTGCCCACCACAGCCCAGCCTCCTGCCAATTTTAGAAATGTTTATTTAGTTAAATAACTCAGGTATTTATCTTATTTAGCTTAGAAAGCACATGAATTCCATGTGGAAGCCATCCATACAGTAAATATGGAGAAAAGGCTCACAATCTTCAGGGCTCACCTGACCCTCACACTCACCTGAGTCTGTGAGTAAATGAATAATCACGGACAATCCCCAACACCCAGTGTCTCCCCATCTTTTACTGTAAGTTAAGAGAGTTTGGACTTGTTTGACTGGAGATGAGTGACCTCCATCACACAGAGTCACAACCATCTAGAAAGTAACTGAGGACTGCATCAATTTAATTTGTAAGCTGAGAAGAAACTGACTTTTCACAATAAATCTAGTTCAAATCTAATGTTCAAATACCAGTCTTGCTTTAAATTCAGAAAGAATCTCTAGAAAGTTGGTGGCTTCGCTGTTGGGACATCGCTGCTGCTCCTGTGCCAGCAGAGACCCCATCTGCTTCCTTTCACTTCCAGCACCAGCTCCGAGAGCACAAGTAAGTCTGGCCCTGCACAGCTGTGCTCTCCAGGAGACACTATTTTCCTCTGTTAACAAAACACGCGGGTAGCTTTCTCAGCCAAAACAAGCTTCAAGCTTTAAATTTAGCAACAAGATTGAGTTCTTCCTAACAAAGATTGCGATTCATTTTTTTAAAAAAATGGGCTGGAGAGATGGCTCAGGGGTTAAGAGCATTGCCTGCTCTTCCAAAGGTCCTGAGTTCAATTCCCAGCAACCACATGGTGGCTCACAACCATCTGTAATGAGGTCGGTGCCCTCTTCTGGCCTGCAGACATACACATGGGCAGAATATTGTATACATAATAAATAAATAAATATTTAAAAAAAAATACTCCATGTTTCAAGAAATCCTCAAGGACCTACCTGAAATAATCTTTAAATGTATACATCACTTTAATTCAGAAACAGGGGAATTCTCCAATTAAAACAATACATATGCAGTTTAAAAACAGAAAATGTTTATAAAATAACCAGACTTTAGTCTTAAAGTTAATAATTACATAAAGCATCTGATAAGTTGAGAATATATTCACACATATATAATATGGACCAAGTACTCAAGGTACATGTCTATTAATAATCATTTACAGCTTGACTCATCCAATGCTTCCCCAGTTCTAATAATCTTACACACACACACACACACACACACACACACACATTAGTATTTTAGATGCATCTTATTTTATTTATGTCTCTCAGTTGTGTGCAGATGCCCACAGAGGTCAGAAGAGGGTGTCGTGTCCTCGTCCAGTTGTGAGCCGCCAGATGAAGCATGTGATAGGCAGGGATCTCAGTGCTCAGAAGAGCAGCAAAGGCTCTTAACCACCAAGTTGGCTCTCCAGCCCCAACCTAAGTATTTTAAACACGAAACACTACATTCATGACTTGTCACGTTAAGTATCTTGGTAATACAGGACAGTTTAAACAACAGGATCAGGACACTTCTGAAGGCTGCTTGTCTCTGTGAGATTTCAGAAACTCACCCCAAAACCCATGGCAGCCACAGCTTTCGTCAGGCTGCCTTTGCCATCGGGCTTTGGGTTCTGTTTCATTTTTAAGTTTTGCTTCTTTGTTTTGATCTATACAGCTATTAGAAGTAATATGCCCTGTGGAATTAAGTCAAGGCAGGCTTTGAGGGGAATGAGCTGAGCTGTTTAGCCACCGTCTATGGAGCATGAGAGCCAGCAGGTCTCAAGCAGTGGCATGAATTAGTTGGTTGCTCCTGCCACCTCCTCAGCTTCTACATAGAACAGTGGGGGAATTCTGGCCCTCACACTCCGTGAGCACTAGGCAAGCACTCTGCCACTAGAAAATAGTTCAAAGAAGTTGCATTTATAAATTTCCCAGGTGATGCTGATCCTACTGGTTATGAATACTGATCTAAATAAAATTTTGTTTTCTCCAAATACCAAACCCAACTGAAGCACATATTAATCTATGAGAAAATACAATCTACATTCTGAGAGAAAGCAAATTACTACTATATATTGTATAATGAACTAGAAAAATATTTCAGTATCTTTGTATTTAGAAATCAAAAGTCCACACTTAAAAAAAATAAAAAAGATGATATTTTATATTTTCAAGGGGTATTTACTGCAAGATACCCTTGAAGACCATACTTTCTGATATATTTCTATTAAGTGAAATGAGAATCAATTATATACTATACTAAATCAATTTCCATATTTCATTAGTCTTATATTGACTTCAATTACCAATATTTGGTGAATCTTCCCATTTTTATAGGTTATGTTTCTTTTCTTGTAGAGCTGAGACTTGAACCTAGACCCTTGAACATGCTAAATATGCACTCTACAGCTAAGACAGACCCTCAGTCCCATTATTAAAAAACGTTGCTCATGTTGCATATGAGTGGCCATGCATCTCCCAGCTGTGTGTGGAGGTCAGCCTACCATTCTGTGGCGTTGGTTCTCACACCCCACCTTCCCACGGCTCACTTAGGCTTCTCCACACACATTACTCTCTTGTCTAGTTTTAGCACCACCAATGCGAACCAATGCGAACTATACAGCACTGCACTGTCTAGTTTCTGAGGGTACAAATCTCACCTCACTGATCTCTTCCTCTTCAGAAAGGCAGCTGAGCCCTGCCTATTGACGGTTCCTCCTCTCAGATACAGTCATGGTCCTTTACGAGCTGCTCTATTGCCAGAGTTAGAACGTATCTATAGAAACCTAGTGGGTGCCTCATCATGAACTCGCTACACAGACGGGCACTGACATTTCTGCATGGACTTTCCTCACTCAAGGATATGTTGGCCATTGATTTATAAGTTCTGTACTCTAGGAAGTGCACTGTACTTCTTTGTTTCTTACTGAAGATTTAACTTTGCATTTGGTGCTAATAAGAGATAGGCAATGACCCCAACCAAAGTAACATTTGTAGTGAATTTAATTGTTAGAGGTTAGTCAAAATGTAAATGTGTAGCCTTGAAAATAAGAAAATCAACAAATTTCAAACTTGAAATTGCTCTGTATCTAATCTAAAGTTAAGTGGGTTTAAAAATAATTATAATATAGGACAGTCATGGTTATAAATAAATAAATGTGAATACTGGAGAAATGATAAGCTCTTATATCTGAATTTGATTCCGTGCAATCATCTAAGTCGGAACCATACCCTTGAGTCAAAAATAGCTCAATTTAAAAACAAATGGAACTAACAGGATTAATTTTTAAGAAACTTCTATAAAATACAGAGCACCTAGACATGTTATTAGTTCGGAAATACTAAAATTTACAAAATACTCCCAATCTTCTGGGGGGCAAAATGGGCCAAACCAATTGAAATGAGGGTCAACTGGGAATCAGTGGCATGCGTGACTGCCACTCTGCCACCTCCTGGTGGTACAGCATCAGTCCAGTTCCTGTGGAGTGGAGCAGTGTCTGCTTTGGTAGTTTTCAGGTGAGACTTCCTCCAGAATTACTCTCCTTTGCATGTAGAAGCTTCATGACAAGATTGAAAAGGATGACCCTGGACTGGCTCTTATAGCCCAGGCTGGTCTCGAACTCACAGAGATCCGCCTGTCTCTGCCTCCCGAGTGCTGGGATTAAAGGCGTGCGCCACCACCGCCTGGCCCTCAATAAACTTCTAACTTTATGTGACCACATAACAAAAAGTCTGCATCTCTTCTTCCTAAGCTCGTCATTATCTATCAACTGAAGGTCTATAGTCTATCAGCGTTAGTCTTCGCTTGATTAACAGCACAGCCAGATAGTCAAAATGCATAGAATCAGATCTTCCTTTGCCATCTCCCACACTGTCACTGGGCAAGTTATTGAACAGTGGCCCCTCAGCTTCCTCACCTGTACACCACAGTTAACATCAACACTGATGCCTCATGCAGGCGTGAGAATCCCAGGGAGCTCTGAACTGAGCCAGAGTGGCGGACACATCCTCGGCTCCTCTCCACACACTCCACCTGCAACCAAGCCAGTGGTTCTCAACCTGTGGGTCAAGACCCCTTTGGGGTAGCATATCAAATATTATAACTCATAAGAGTAGCAAATTACAGTTATGAAGCAGTAATGAAATAATTTCAAGGTTGGAGGTCACCACTGTTAGCATTTGGGCATTTCAACTGCCCTGCCCTGAGGGACAGACAGACAGCAGGACACACCACCGTCAGCCACCATGAGTCAGGAACTTTCCCTATGCACATGCACTATCGCCTTCTCTCCCAGCGCCCACTCAGAGGCCACCTCTGCCCTTCCCCTACGAGACCTCTCATATGGCATCTGTTACACTGGACGACTTTGTGGAGCCTCTGGCTCCACCTGGTGCCCCTTGTCTCCAACCCAAGGTGCCTTCCACCCTTAAACCATTACAATCACACGAGGAGCTGTATGAAAGGGTTGCAGCATGAGGAGGGTTGAGAACCACTGGTTCTAACCCTACCCTCCTTTCAGCTCAAAAGAACAGTTTCTAAAAATGCTGTGTTAACTATACATATCTATAAAAGCCTTGACTTTGGGTGTGAGATTGTTGAGTGGTAAAGACCACCAAGCCTGACCACTGTCACTTGGTGAAAGGAGAGAACTGACCCCTGTGGCTGTTTTCTCATTTCCATACATGCACTGTGGCATGCATACACACGCCACTACATATACAAATAAATAAACAAGCAAACAAATAAATAGATAGAATTTAAAGAAAAATTTAGGAGCCTTGCATTTGTCTTAAACTGTATAACAGAATTCACAGCAAAGCTTACCATTAAGCATCATACTGGTAACTTTTTATAGTTTCTTGTTAATCATTTCCAAGTAAGTTAGATAAGTACACTTGATCAAGGAAACTACGAATTCTCTAGGCATAGACCACTTACTTTCTATTCAGAGAATGCACAACAGTGTGCGGCCACAGCAACACACGGTAAATCTATGAAGGTTGACATATGCCACACACGGCTGACTGTGGCATCTTACAAAATGTTGACGTTAAAACAAATTATAACTGTGAGTCCTGCAGACCATCTTCAATGGTGATCAACACATCCAACCAAAAGGCAAGGGAGAAAAATATATTTCCTGATTTAATTTTCAGTTTTACTATAAGAATGTCTGTCCTCGAGAGACATGTGCCTGAATGTAATTGGAATCACCAGCAGAAAAGGAATGACATTAAAAGAAAGGAAATGAAGAGTCGCCCCACCCCACAGCCCCAAGCCAATCTGGAAATCATTAACAAGAAGCTCAAAGGAAGCTGACATTCTACTTTGGCAATCAGTAGAACACAGCCTGAGCGAGGCCCACCAGCCGTGCCCACCAGCTGTGCCCAGCCCCGTGTCTGTGTGAACCCTCAGCACTAGCAGGTCCTCACTGACTACGCTTCCCTGCAGGGAAATCACTTCCAGCACAGGTCTTTTAGAGCATGCACACTGACTTCTACTTTTCAAGTCACCTTCAGTAAAATACAAGTCCTCAACTACTTGCTCTGTGAATAAGTATGTTCACAGTCTACACTCTGGGTGAGCCATCACTTATCTGAATGTGTGGCCACCACATGCAGAAACCCTAGAGGACCAGGAACCTGACCTTTCATCTTCACCACAACCCAGAAAAGTTGAGCAACCTCTTTTGTGAACTGGAAAGGAAGTCTCTAAAAAACTTGCAAACTTCTCCAACTGCTCAAGAAAAACAAAAACAAACAAACAAACAAAAAACAAAACCAAACCCTTGTTCTGACTTTTAGAGAAGGAGGCACAGGACCTACTGCATACATGTCAGCATGCCCCAACTCCCGATTCACACAGGACCTATGCATACATGTCAGCATGCCCCAACTCCCGATTCACACAGGACCTATGCATACATGTCAGCATGCCCTAACTAACTCCTGATTCACACAGGACCTATGCATACATGTCAGCATGCCCCAACTCCCGATTCACACAGGACCTATGCATACATGTCAGCATGCCCTAACTAACTCCTGATTCACACAGGACCTATGCATACATGTCAGCATGCCCCTACTCCCGATTCACACAGGACCTATGCATACATGTCAGCATGCCCCAACTCCCGATTCACACAGGACGTATGCATACATGTCAGCATGTCCTAACTCCTGATTCACACAGGACCTATGCATACATGTCAGCATGCCCTAACTCCCGATTCACACAGGACCTATGCATACATGTCAGCATGCCCCAACTCCCGATTCACACAGGACCTATGCATACATGTCAGCATGTCCTAACTCCTGATTCACACAGGACCTATGCATACATGTCAGCATGCCCCAACTCCCGATTCACACAGGACCTATGCATACATGTCAGCATGCCCTAACTAACTCCCGATTCACACAGGACCTACTGCATACATGTCAGCATATCCTAACTCCCGATTCACACAGGACCTATGCATACATGTCAGCATGCCCTAACTCCCGATTCACACAGGACCTATGCATACATGTCAGCATGTCCTAACTCCTGATTCACACAGGACCTATGCATACATGTCAGCATATCCTAACTCCTGATTCACACAGGACCTATGCATACATGTCAGCATGCCCTAACTAACTCCTGATTCACACAGGACCTATGCATACATGTCAGCATGCCCTAACTCCTGATTCACACAGGACCTATGCATACATGTCAGCATGCCCTAACTCCTGATTCACACAGGACCTATGCATACATGTCAGCATGCCCTAACTCCTGATTCACACAGGACCTATGCATACATGTCAGCATGCCCTAACTCCTGATTCACACAGGACCTATGCATACATGTCAGCATGCCCTAACTCCCGATTCACACAGGACCTATGCATACATGTCAGCATGCCCTAACTCCCGATTCACACAGGACCTATGCATACATGTCAGCATATCCTAACTCCTGATTCATACAGGACCTATGCATACATGTCAGCATGCCCTAACTCCCGATTCACACAGGACCTATGCATACATGTCAGCATATCCTAACTCCTGATTCATACAGGACCTATGCATACATGTCAGCATGCCCTAACTCCCGATTCACACAGGACCTATGCATACATGTCAGCATATCCTAACTCCTGATTCATACAGGACCTATGCATACATGTCAGCATGCCCTAACTCCCGATTCACACAGGACCTATGCATACATGTCAGCATATCCTAACTCCTGATTCATACAGGACCTATGCATACATGTCAGCATGCCCCAACTCCTGATTCACACAGGACCTACTGCATACATGTCAGCATGCCCTAACTCCCGATTCACACAGGACCTATGCATACATGTCAGCATATCCTAACTCCTGATTCACACAGGACCTACTGCATACATGTCAGCATGCCCTAACTCCTGATTCACACAGGACCTATGCATACATGTCAGCATGTCCTAACTCCCGATTCACACAGGACATATGCATACATGTCAGCATATCCTAACTCCTGATTCACACAGGACCTATGCATACATGTCAGCATGCCCTAACTCCCGATTCACACAGGACCTATGCATACATGTCAGCATATCCTAACTCCTGATTCATACAGGACCTATGCATACATGTCAGCATGCCCCAACTCCTGATTCACACAGGACCTACTGCATACATGTCAGCATGCCCTAACTCCCGATTCACACAGGACCTATGCATACATGTCAGCATGTCCTAACTAACTCCTGATTCACACAGGACCTATGCATACATGTCAGCATGCCCTAACTCCCGATTCACAGAGCTGTGTCAGATTAAGTTTTGACCTATGGCTTCTAAGAACTAAAGAGAGGGTGTACTCAAAACTACACTCAACATCAACTCTCAGACCTGCAGGCCAGGAGTGAACTGACAGCAGTTGATTTATATGACGATTTGGTAACGTGGCTGATGTTGTCAATCTCTTATGGAGTTCCAAGAAAACCAGAGCAGTCGGCATAAGAACGCCCTAGTCTTCAATCACTCAGTCCACACATCGATTACCCTCAATTCCACACACCAATAGGAGAACGGTATTGGAAAGCAGGTCCGTTACCAAGCACGCCTCTTCAGGCTGCGGAGCCTTCCTTACCTGAGAGTTCAGAGCCTCCAGCTTGCGTGTCCTGGCATGAAGAGCTTTGCTTGGAAAAGCCCAGTAGTAATTGGACGTCCCGATTCTCTCGCAGTCAACCATGCTGTCGTCCACCAAGCTCTGAAGGACTTCCTTGACTGACATGGCAGCTGCAGGGAAACATGCACAGACTCCATGGTAAGCAGCATCATGGCTAATTCAACAGGAAGCAATGAGAGACATTTGCAGAGCAGACCACAGTTAAGAGCTAAGAAAGAAAGATGACAGTTTATCAACGGGCATCTATATGTGCAGAAAAGTGAGGCGACCAGGCTCTCAAAGGCAAACATTGCATGTCCGTCCTTTTCCTTTCTTTCTTTTTTCAAGACAGGGTTTCTCTGTAGCTTTGAAGCCTGACCTGGTACTCGCTCTGTAGACCAGGCTGGCCTCGAACTCACAGCGATCCTCCTGCCTCTGCCTCCCGAGTGCTGGGATTAGAGGTGTGCGCCTCCATCACTCAGCCGCATGTCTTTTCTTACATGCAGATCTTAGGTGTTCACACAGGAACAAGCGTGGGCAGAGGTCATGGAATTAGAAAGGAACCCACAAGAGAAGGAAAAAGAAACCGTAAGAACGAAGGTGTAATCAGGATTAGGACACAGTGACATAAAGGCACATAGCGGGCGTGCACAGTCCTGGGGGGAGGGCGGCTAACCAAACTGGAGTACACATTGCAATGCCATAAGGAAACTGTCACTTGGTATGCTAATTTAAAAACAAATAAAAGTGTTCTATAAATAATCACGCTCAGGATTTCAACTACGACGGCATTCTATTTTTTTTAGTACTAGAGTTTGAGACCAGGGCTTTGAACATGAGAGAAGTGCTCTAGGCTAAGCGCCGCCCCAGCCTTTCTAACTCTACTCTAAACTGAAGACAAACTAGAACCAACAGCACACCTCCTGGACTACCAAATTAAAAACAGTCAAGACAGAAGAAAGGATCCAAAGATACATATGGAAGCATGTATCTAAACCTTAAGCGCATGGCTTTCCTTCTGAAGACATTTGCTTTTTTAAACTCAGCCACACATCAGAAAGATGGACATACATGTTTGTCACTCAGTCACATGGCAGAAAGATGGACATACATGTTTGTCACTCAGCCACAGAGAAGAAAGATGGACATACATGTTTGAAAAGCATTTTTTTAAAAGAAAATTATTTATTTATTTATTATGTATACAATATTCTGTCTGTGTATCTGCCTGCAGGCCAGAAGAGGGCACCAGACCCCATTACAGATGGTTGTGAGCCACCATGTGGTTGCTGGGAATTGAACTCAGGTCCTCTGGAAGAGCAGGCAGTGCTCTTAACCGCTGAGCCATCTCTCCAGCCCTTGGAAAGCATTTTTATCAGCAGCAAAGGAAACTGGAAACTAGCCCAATAGTTGGCTTTTTGAATACACAATGCAATGCTATACAGCGAAGTTAAGGATATGGATAAACACATGTTGCGCCATACAGAATGCATGCTATAGAGAAGTGAAAAGACAGTGTGTATTATGTGACCATAGTTCAGATGGCGGAGAGCGGACGATTTTTACTTTGACTCTTTATTCTCCCAAAATAAACATGTATTGCCTTCAGCTAAGGAAACTAAAAGTTGTGACAACTCAAACAATAAACAAATTAGTGCCAACAGTTACAGCTAAGACTTAAAGTCAGAATCTATTAATAATGCTTACTTTCTATATACCAAAAACCATATCCCCATTTTAATATTTAAATTTTCCCTAGAGCAGATCTCTAGCTATAAAGCTTATTTAAAATGTAAAGATCTAATAAATAAAATTGACACCAAGTGTGCAAAACATCAACTCTACTCATAAAGTCCAAACTGAAATGGAAGTCAAAGAATTCTAAAGATGAAAGAGTCGGCCGTGAGGCTCAGCGACAGAGCGCTGCCTAGCAGGCAGCGAGCCCTGGGTCCAACCCAACTCTGAAAAGAAACAGAAAGTGAGTGTGAGCGTGAGCTGGCCAAGCCTCTCCTGAAAGCGACTTAAGAAGACGTGCTTGAAGCTTTGAGAGCTGTGCAAGCCTTTGTCTCTGCTCTGCTCTGCAGATGCAGTCTAACGACGCACCTGGAGAGGGGATCTGTAACCAAACCCCACAGACCAGGCTTACCCAGCAGCTAAGGTAGAGCCAGAAAGCGCTGGCTTGAGAAGGCTGAGGCCCCGTGTTTAGCTGCACAGTTCCAGCAACCAGGACAAGGCAGCAACCAGTTCAGTTCCTGGTGAGGATCTCTGCCTGTTGTGTGGACAGCCTGTGTTCTTGTTATGGGTGGCCTTTCCTTTGGAGACACACAAAGATCTCTCTCTCGTCTTAAAATCAGTGCCCCACTATTAAAACCTCACACACCATTTGTTTCCGCATGGTGACCGTGACAGTCTCTCACCGTGGAGCGCAAGCTAACTCAGACTCATGCTTTCCGAGTGTTGAGACTACATATGTGTATCATTCACTCAGCCTTTAACTTAAGGCCCTGATGAAGGTCCTACTTCCAGGAGGGTGGGAAAGAGAGAGTCAACACATGAACTGGGGAGAACGCAGTTCAGCTCAGAGCAGAGAAACTGTTATTCATACAATACTTTTAGTAGCAGCACTTATAGACTATCTAGATGGTCAACAATAGGTGACCGGCTAAGCAGGTCTGATGGGTGGTCACAGGCTGGGACTGATCATATGCAGACGATATGCTATATAGAGAAGATACTCGGGTGAGATTAGCTCAGAGGTGGAGTACTAGCCCGAGAAGGTGAGCCCTGGGTCCGCCCCCAGCACAGCCACTCCTCACCACACAATAACTATCAACACAAAACTGCACATGCAGATGGTTTCCTCTCAGAATGACAGATCTTTACGTACATATACTGACAAAACTGTTCTAAAGTTTCTTAGAACAGAAAAAGGCCAACCTTTCTTCCTCGCTCAGGGATGGGAGCTGCTCTGCTCCACCTGTTTCCCTGAAGCTGTCTGTCAGGAACTCTGTCACAGCCATGGAAGTCTGACTATAGCACACGGACGCCAGGAAAATCAAGGATCCCAAGATGAAAAGCACCGTACTTCAGTCTCCGAGGGAACCAACCCTGCTCATATTTTCATGTCAACTTTCTACCTCTAGAGCTAAGAGAAGGTAAGTTTAAGATTTCATATTCATAGTAAATTCTTGATACGGCTTCGTGAAACTGACATACTATGTAAAGACACCAAATCACATTTGACAAATACTACAAAATAAGTGAAACAATCTTTACTTCTTTTGAAACAAGCTATAAAGTAAGTGTGCATGAGTAAAGGTATATGTGTTCCTCTTTCAACTGTTCTAGAACAGAGGGTCCAAACACAGGAACTGACTGATGGCCGAGAAGTATCATATGGGGCTTTTACAAATATACTCACGTCTAGATTTTTGCATTGACAATAAAGGGAAACCCCACGGCAGAAAAGACTAAGTTCCCCAAGTCCCCATCATCCACCATCTCTTTAATACTCACTGATGCCTTTCTCTTTGGGAGCAATCTTCTCCAGGTCTTTCAGTTGGAATACATCTTTCTAGTTAAAAGGATTTAAAGACATGAAAAACACATAATTACTTTCTTCTGTTTATTTATGCTTATCATAACCATACTCATAAAACATAGCATCAAAAAGACATGTCTACAAATAAATACTGTACAAAAATTGAGCATTTCAGAACTAGAAGAATGTTGTATCTCATTCAGTGTCCTACAGAACTTAAGATGGACACACTTCCACACGAGCACAGATGTCTGTGGGGGGCCGGACAACTGGACACACTTCCACACGAGCACAGACGTCTGTGGGGGGATGGACAACTGGACACACTTCCACAGGAGAACAGACGTCTGTGCAGGACCAGACAACTGGACACACTTCCACAGGAGAACAGACGTCTGTGGGGGGCTAGACAACTGGACACACTTCCACAGGAGCACAGACGTCTGTGGGGGGCCGGACAACTGGACACACTTCCACACGAGCACAGACGTTGTGGGGGGCCGGACAACTGGACACACTTCCACAGGAGCACAGACGTCTGTGGGGGGCCGGACAACTGGACACACTCCACACGAGCACAGACGTCTGTGGGGGGCTGGACAACTGGACACACTTCCACACAAGCACAGACGTCTGTGGGGGGATGGACAACTGGACACACTTCCACAGGAGCACAGACGTCTGTGCAGGACCAGACAACTGGACACACTTCCACAGGAGAACAGACGTCTGTGGGGGGATGGACAACAACAACAGAGCCAGCTTCTCACTGAAGCAGGAAGATTAACCCTGGAAGGTAATGTGTGACATCAGATAACGAGCTGCTCTGACGCTCTGATATTAAGAAAAGCAAAAAATATCAGGCAGAAATGAAGGCTCTGTGGTTAAAAGCTTCTCTTGCAGAGGACCCTAATTCAGTTCCCAATTCCTCCATGGTGGTTCAGGAGATCTGGTGCACCCTTTTGACCTCTGTGGGCACCAAGCACACATATGGTACTCATACATACTTTCAGGCCAACACTCATGCGCATAAAACAATTTAAAATAACAAATCTTAAAAAAAAGAAAAGAAAGAGAGAAGGAAAGAAAGAGAAAAAGAAAGGAAGGAAAAGGAAAGGAAAGGAAAGGAAAGGAAAGGGGAACAAAACAGGCAGTGATGGGAGGATTGCTTTGGACCACAATTTTAAGGCCAGCCTGCGCAATATAAAAAGGTCCTACCTTAAAAAAAAGGAAGGAAGGAACAGAGGGAAGTAATGAGGGAGGGAAAGAGACCAAAGGAAAAGGAGGGAAAGTGCTTTACTTGGTGTGTCTCGTGCTCCACGGATTTACCAGTTGTAACTAAAAGTTACAGACAACTGTCGAAGTTGGTTTTCACCTAAGGTTTCATGAAGCAGCTAAGTCTACATGACAGAAAGCTGTCCGGCTCACGATTGTCTCAATCGCTCGTACTCACACACGTACACATGCAGAACACAGCATTATGGGAAAATACGCATTCAGAGTATTTAGTCTAGCAGCTAGGGACCGTCCTTGCTGACCGCCCCTTTCCTCAGTGGTGACAGGCACTAGGCCAGCGAGATTTGATACTGTCTGGGAGACTAATGCACCCAGCGATTAGGAAGAGGCCCTGTGACTGGATGGGGTGGAGAGCCATTGCTTTCTAAGTTAAACTGAGAAAGCACATCAACTGGATGGGGACCATGTCCAAAACCTCTGCTGATCCTAACGGACATTTGGCAAAACTGCCAAGACAGATACTGCCGAAAAGAAAATATTTGCAGAAATATCTACTTGACAAAAAGACCTGGAACCCAGAATCTACATAAAGTGTGTCCAAGACAAGAGGAAATAATGAATTGAAAAAGGAGTGAGCTGAGGAATGCATCTGTGTGCTCCTCATGGCTGTCAAAATGTTCTGAAAAGATTTCTCACACACGGCTGGTGAACCACTCATGATGGCACACAGTGCTCATCCAGATCAGAGCATCATGGTACACGGTGCTTATCCAGATCAGAGCATCATGGTACACGGTGCTTATCCAGATCAGAGCATCATGGTACACGGTGCTTATCCAGATCAGAGCATCATGGTACACGGCGCTTATCCAGATCAGAGCATCATGGTACACGGTGCTTATCCAGATCAGAGCATCATGGTACACGGTGCTTATCCAGATCAGAGCATCATGGTACACGGTGCTCATCCAGATCAGAGCATCATGGCACATGGTACTTAGCCAGACTAGAGCATCATGGTACACGGTGCTCATCCAGATCAGAGCATCATGGCACATGGTGCTTAGCCAGATCAGAGCATCATGGTACACGGTGCTCATCCAGATCAGAGCATCATAGTACACGGTGCTTATCCAGATCAGAGCATCATGGTACACGGTGCTCATCCAGATCAGAGCATCATGGTACACGGTGCTTATCCAGATCAGAGCATCATGGTACACGGTGTTTATCCAGATTAGAGCATCATGGCACATGGTGCTTAGCCAGAATCGTGACCAGCATGGCACACAGTTCTTAGCCAGCAAGTTTTCTAATTAATTCAGAAGGTGAAACACACTCACCAGAGACTAACTGAAAAAACGGACTATAAAACACAACCCTGCATTAGCATATGATTAATAAAACATAACAGCAATATTCTTCCAGATTTTGCATTTTCTACTTAACACCACATAGTGAACATTTAGCCATGACACCATCTTTGAGAAGGGCCACTATCCGTATCTAATGCCAAATTCTGTAACTGATGGTGTGGAATGTCTGAGCTAGAAGTATTTGAGTTTGTTAGAATTTTATTTATCAACAATGGAATTAGAACCCAAATTCCAGAATCGATGTTTCAACCTTGGACCATAATATTGACTTGTTCTGAACGGCTGAAGGGCTGACGTCTAATATTTATGAACATTTGGCATTGGTCTGGAGCCCAGACACATGGTGTCCCGTGTGGAAACAGACACAGCATCTCCCACTATTTCCGAAGCACATCGCCTCACTCTGCAGCTCCCTCCCAGAGCCCACAGCTGAAATCAGCATGCATGGCATGCTCATCACAGTGTGAGGACAGAGGGGGTACCTGAGCTGCATGGAACCAACCAACACGGCTGATCTCCTCTGCAGAGAAAACTCTCTGTTGAATGTCTATAAGTTGTTATTCCTTAGTGTCCAAATGCCACTGAAGGGTGAAGTTGAACATTTTTAAACCAGAAATGGCCAACTTTGGTATTTGAGAAGATCAATACGGAAAGGATAAAATCATTCCACTGACTACTTTCCTCGAGTCTCCATTGCCTGGAAGAAATTAGGTCTGTTCTTGCTCTAAGGCCACAGGAAAAAATATCCAACTCGGCCGAAGAGAAAAACTGAAACAAACTTCATCTTCTCAATGACAATCGTGCACTGGCTTAAAAACATAAAGAATATACCCAGAATTTCCTCAGAATATTTTAACTGTACGAGAATCTCCATTATCAAATGAAAATGAATTTTACCTCCATAATATTCTATTTTACCATTTCCCCCGTATGCACAGGACGAGAATAGCCAGTGGGATAAAGGGCATAGGGAGAACTTCTTGTGGGATGAAAAGCCCGTTTGGACTTGTTTCTTTACAAAAGAAAGGCCTATGGACAGGAACATGGTTAAGAAAGTAGACCTAGAGCCTGGTTTTCATCTGACTGTCACTTAGTAAAGCAGAAACTTTATTTTTCTCTCAGTGACCAACACAGGTCTCTCCTGGGTATTATCATAATGCCATAGGCAGCCTGCAAACACAGAGCAGAAGGATGTCTGAGCTCCCTATGAAACCACGTGGTCCTCCTTGGCTTACACCTGATAATGTCCACTCTTGTTTTCTGAGACCCTGGCAGGCTCTTCAGACCCTCTGTCTCAGGAGCCCTCATCTGCAAAGCAAAGCTGACGACCACAGGACTTTACCCCAGGACCGTCTGCTGCTGAATCGGAAACCCTACACTAAAGCCTGGGGCGGCCAGCACCCAGGCAGCACCCAGGCAACTGCTGCGAGTACTTCAGAAAAGGAGGTCATAATCAAATACATAACTCAGAAAGAGAACTCCACATCAGTCTACAGGGCGTTTAGGATCCACAGCTCAGAAGAGCCAAAAATATTGGAAAATTTTATCTGCCCCTTAAGAACCACGGTAGTATGGGTGTCTAACAAAATGAGACACTGAATTACATCATAGAAAAATCTACAGCATACTATAAAAATACATTTACTGTAAACATTATACAAAACACTAACAACATTAGGGGATGACTTACCGTCTCAAAAAATATCTCCATCATTCGGGTCCTTTTTTCTTCCGCACTCAGTCCTTTCTTCTTTGACTGAAGCATAAAACACAAATCAACAAAAGTCACGGTTTCAAAACAGCATTTTACAACAACTTGGCATTAAATGTTGTTATGTGATTTTGTCCACCGTCCACAGGCTCCCAGCAGCCCTGTGAATACGGGCTGCTCTTCCCTACACATGCAGCGACAGAAACAACATTTTGTGGGAATTCTACTTTGTTTTATTTTGTGCTTTTTTTTTTTTTGAGACAGGGTTTCTCTGTGTAGCCCTGGCTGTCCTCAAGTAGCGGGGGCTGGCCTTGAACTCAGCGAGCCACCTGCTCTGCCTCCCAGTGCTGGGATTTAAAAGTATGTGTTATTGTACCCTCTGCAGAAATTTAGCATTTACAAAATGAACCAATGAGAAGCCACTGTATCAACTTTCAAAAGAAACAGACAGCTCCTTATAATCAATTAACAGCTACACACACAGATTGCTGCATAAATACCGGGGAAGGAATTGATTAGTCCCACCTGGAGATCTGGTCAAGCTGGGAAGTAGGGCGGGGCATTGTGCAGACCCCAGGTGCAGGCAGTGTCAGGGACACTAAGTCAAGCACTGATACACTTACTGCACGGACTGCGAGGGGGGAGAAAAGGACGAGACAATTCAAAAGCCGTTTGGCATAGAGGCTAGCTAGCTGGGAAGACAGTGGCGCGCAGAGGGGTGACAAGATCAGAGCTGAGCTGGAGTATGAGATGGCAGCAACGGGGGCTAGCAAGAGCGCGGTGGTTACAAACCAGAGGACATGGTCCAATCCCCAGCAGCCCCAGGACATCTGTCCCCCTCTTCTGGCCTCCCTGGGCCCTAGGCACACACATGATGTACAGACATAGATACAGGCAGAACACCCATACACATACATTTTTTCAGTATTTTAACTGAAAGGAAATGAACAGTGGCAGCTGTGTGCAGGCTGTAAGAAAACCCTATCCACATAGAAAACGGAAGCCTGTAATACCTATAAATCTATCAGATTTGAAAACAAGATGATCAGTATATAACTGAAATACATAATTCTTATGTATATTATACACAGTACATACTAACTTACTTTCAAATTAAACAAAAAGAGGAGCCAAATTTCTTTAATGCAAAAAATTGCAAGAAAAATAAAAACAACGCGAGAAACACTGGGGTTTATTTGTTGTTTATTTGGGGGGTGGGGTGCTAAGGACCATGTATACAGATCAGAAGACAGTGAAGTTAGTCTTCTCCTTCCTCTGTGCGGCTCCAGGGATGAACTCAGATAGTCAAGCTCAGCAACAAGCACTGTTACCAATGCGCCATCTCACCGGCCCTAAACTTAAGTGCTCTGCATCCTTCTCAAAAACTGCACAGGATCATGTTGTTTCCTTGGTAATCATGAACAAGTGTCTGAGGACTTGTAGAGACAGGATAACTCATTCAGTTTGAGGATTTCGTGAGATAAGAACTAGTGGCCGCTGCTCTGCTTCTCTGATCTTTCAGCTTTCACCCCCTAATATCTGAATCCTGGTTTATATTATTATGACCAACTAGAATTTGTGCTACAATATATATTCTACGGGAGTGCCCAGCCTAAGACGATTTCAGGGACTTTCTGAAGCTATTGTGAGTTGTTTATTTCCTGTCTTAATTTAATGAGCTTTCCAACAGAATTGTTTCACATTGAGGTTCATGTTGGGGTTAAGCCCCACTAAACCTCTCTGGATTCAGAAGGATCACTAGAGTAGGTGAAACCTGACAATAAGGTCTGAGGGTATGCCGGGTAGTGGTGGCGCACGCCTTTAATCCCAGCACTCGGGAGGCAGAGGCAGGCGGATCTCTGGGAGTTCGAGGCCAGCCTGGTCTACAAGAGCTAGTTCCAGGACAGGCACCAAAGCTACAGAGAAACCCTGTCTCGAAAAAAAATAAATAAATAAGGTCTGAGGGTAAACAAAACAAATTAGCTCACAGAAGTCTTTTTATCAAGTCCCATTTTTTCTGTCTGTGCTCTCTCTAGTGCTCTCCTGATGTTCCCCTTTCTATGGCCCTCCTCAATGTTCCTCACTGTCTACCCATCCCACAAGGTTTCCCGTTTACACACCCACAGAGACGTGGTTAGCAATCCCATAGGTGAGAACAATGGCACCAAGCATGCATTTCTTAGGGCTAACAGGGTGGATAAAAGACTGGCAAGTGGTGCCTTATATTTCAGAAGGGGCGTGGCTGTGCAGCTCCCTGGAAGATACTGGGAGGATTACGATGAAATTTGGCTCCCTGGGCTAAACATCCTGGTGCTGTATCTGCTGGCACCCAGGTGAGAAAGAATTTCTTTCTCTGGGGCTGGTTTAGTAACCCAAGCTTTTTTCCTGTATATTTTAGGGGTAAAGGTACAAATAGTTAATTTCCTAGACTAAGACCTTGTGTCAGATGAAAGGTGAAGAAAAGCACAGAATATTAACAGCTTGTCAGGGTAGAGCAAAGGACAGTATATTCTTCTGAGTTCGCAATTAGAGAACCCAGGGTCACCCAGATCTGTTTATCAATAAGAGCAGACAGCAGACATACTGTCTCTCAGTTGAGCGCCTCCTGCTCAGGGCTCCTTTCCTGTCAATAAGGATGACTGTGGGGCTCGAGCTGTATGTAGATTTGACTAGGAGAACAGAAGTTTGGCTGAGTGAACGCTTTCACACCAGAGCCCCACCATGTGGCAGAGGTCATCAAGTTGTCCATACAGAAAAAAATTACCTCATCGAATGATCTATACACTGCTGGGGTATCTCGGGATGAATCCATTACGGAAGGGAGAAGAGCCATGACCTCACAAGATCTCTACAGAATTGACAGTGACTATCCAGAAAACAGGTGTTCCCGAGCCCTGCAAATCAGGCTCCTCCTACTCCCCTGAGTCTGTTCAGTGACTTGTCAGCTGTTCTTTTACTGTATAATGTCTGTGGCAGCAGCTGCACCTCCCCTTAGAGCAGTGGTTCTCAATCTTCCTAATGCTGTGACCCTTTAACACAGTTCCTCCTATTGTTGTGACCCCAACCATAAAATGATTGTTATTTCATAATTGCAATTTTGCTACTGTTATGAATTGCAATGTAAATATCTGATATGTAAGATATCTGATATGCAGCCCCTATGAAGGGGTTGTTTGATCCTCCAAGGGTTGTGACCCACAGGTTGAGAACCGCTGCCTTAGACCACACTGGTGCCTCACCGCCATATGAATATCCTGCCCTAAAACCCCCTGTTCTACCTCCCTTTCCACATTCAATGTCTTAAAGAGTTTCTCCAAGAGAGCTATAACTTTGGAGGAAATTACTACACAACAGATCACAGGAAAACAAACTGCTCGTTAAGATATAATAAGATAAAGATTGATTCTGTCCGACCAAAATCCCTACCAGAAAGCATCATTCTCTAACACTCGAAAGAAGGATCTTGGGACACCATTCTGTATTTCTTCTGGCAAAACCAGGAACTCACTCGTTTCCACAGCAACAGTATTATGTTGTGTGTCTTGATGAGCGTGTTGGTATAAGTAAGCAGCCTCCAAATTCACACTTTCCTTTTTCTTCTGTCCCTCTGAAGACAGCAATCCCCAGGGAACCATACTGAGCCCTTCCTATCCTCAAATCTCCTTTGATCTCATCATCTTTAATTTTAATTAACACTTGTGAGAAGACCACAGATGCTGGTCTGGCCCCGGAGACTCCTGAACCTCTCTATCTCATGTATCTACCAGCCTGCTGGACAGACTTCAAACTCAAGTGGGCCAAAACGAGCCACACTTTTTACCTATGCCAAAGACCCCGCAGGCATCCTAGGGGCCTTCATCTCATTACCAACTACCAAGCTCTGTCAACACTGGCTCTTAAATATTCTCTAACATGGTGGTTCTCAGCCTTCCTAATCTGTGACCTTTAATACAGTTCCTCATGTGGTGATCTCAACCATAAAATTATTTTCCTCCCTACTTAATAACTGTAATTTTGCTACTGTTATGAATCGTAACGTAAAAATCTGTTTTCCAATAGCCTTAGGCGACCCCTGAGAAAGGCCATTTGACCCCCAAAGGAGTCGTGACCCACAAGTTGAGGACCACTGCTCTATTACGTCCTGCCTGTCCCACCTCTGCCAGGATTCAAGCCTTCACTGGCTGTCTCCTGCAGTCTGTCCTCAACGGCCTAAACACACTTCGGCCTCATGCTCTAATGGAGAAACAAATCTGACTACATAGCCCCCCATGTTCAAACCTTGTGATGGTCCCAGTGTCCCAGTCCTCCTAAGGATCCAAGCACCTCACAGGGTATAGAAGACCCACAATCACCTGACCCCAACCTACTGCTCTGAGTAACTCCCCACCCCACCCCAATTTACCATAACAAGATGAAACACCGTGCAATTTGAAATGTAATAATAATAATAATAAAATTATTTCCAGAATTCTCTACAGGAAGCATTCTATCGTTTCTGTGCCCTGTAAAAAGATGTCCCTCTACCTAAAACATCTCCCCTCCGACTCCTGCCATACTGTAAAAGGTCTCCCACAGCCTAGTGTGGGCCTTCTCTCCTGAAAGCCTTCCCTCTGCTGCCCTCACAGGCTGAGCATGTGTTCCCAGGACACACTTGCATCCATCACTGACTGCACTGAACATCAGGACCACAACCAGTAAAAGCGCCCACCCTATACCTCCAAGGTGCTCCAGCTCAGAAGCCCACAGCACTCCAAAACATATAATCCAGGGTGTATTAAGTATCAGGAAGCTGGTGGCCATCACCTTGCTAGCAGAGACAGCAGAGCACTCTCAGTGAGGCAGACAAGCTCCAGGAAGCTATGCAGAACCACTGTTAGTTAAACTTATAGTGCACAGTTAGAACCCAGGGGTGTTTTATGAGCCCTTCCACGGGCTCTCTTGCAGTATCTGAAGCCATGATGAAGTTCACACCCAGGTACGCTTCCCATGCCAGTGGGCATCAAACTACCACACATGCGCCCATCTTAGGGACTTGAAAAGGCTAGAGCCCAAGTTACCCTGTGTGAACTGCAATGGTGATGATGAGCCTAGGCATGCCTCTTTAAAAAATATTCTCAGTTGCTTCGACTTGCTTGTCTCACTAGACTCCCAAGGCTGGCAGGGGCTGTGTGGAGAAGTGGCAATCTCCTTAGGGTGTGATTCCCTTGCATGGCTCTATAACATGGACCTGACCAGGTCAGCAAGGGAATGAAATATAAGCAGGATAGACAGACAGAAGGATGCTCAAACAGAAAGCTGGGATTGGTGCTCTGGGCTCTTGGTAGAGAAACTGTGGCACTCCAGAAGCCCAGTGTGTTCATTACAGAGCTGAGCAGAGGCAGGTGGCTGCACACAGAGGGTTATTACATACAGATAAACAAGGAGACAGGACTAATACACACATCTGAACAAGGGGGCGGGATTAGCTAATCTTGGTAGCCAAGGAACAGCCTCTGCAGGCGAGCATTCCTCAGGCCATAAACACCAGAAGGGAATAAAGCACACTGCACATTTCCCACACAGGCTGGCAAATCTCGCTCTGGATCTCCCAGGGAAGACTTTGCCATCCTCTCTGCCTGAGGCCATGGGGTCTTTGGTGTGGTCACGTTTATCAACAACACATCCACTCAGGGCTTCCCTCATTCAAGTCTCCCTCAGCTCCCTACATTGGGGCTTTATTGTGTGGCTAAATCAGGAGAAAGAAGGAGCCAAATCCGGGAGCAAACCTCCTTTTTTAATATTGTTATTTAAAAAGAGTTCCTGGGAAGTCCTTTGCAATTCCCAGAGGCAAACAAGAAGTTAAGGGCACGTCCTGGGGAACACAGCTTACAAGGCTCTTACTACTCAACAAATATAAAATCATTCCAAGAAGGCAGATGAATTGTTTCCATGCCTTTCGGGCTGTTTTGTTTCTTTCTATTTTATAAGTTACTACTAGCCACATCTGGGAACCACTGAGGTCGGATTTAAAATACCTAATGTAAAAAGGGCATCCTACTGACACTAGAGACTTCCACAAGAAACATAAAAAGGGCTCAGTACTTAAAACTGGAGGAGGGTGGGTAAAACGGGGATGCCTTCCTGTTAGTAAAAGCCACCCGAGGTCTATGACACTTCCTATCTGAATGAAGGACTTCAAGGCACTTTTTAGAGACTTGTACCTAGAGTCTTGCTAATATCAACCCTGTTGGTCATTTGTGATAACATTTTGAAAGCTAAAAAGATGTCACTCTCAAGGTTGCTTTTTCTCCAATTTCAAACTGTAGGCCTACACTTATAATTGTTTGCAAAGCAAGCCCAGTCAAATCAAAACAGCTATTAATCCAGGATTAGCAAAGAGGCCGAAAATTTAACTTTGACCAGAATAACTCTGAACTCTTTTCCTGATCATATATAAAAATAATAGCAAGTACCTATGTGAAGCGTTAACAGCCATTAAATCCCTTGGCAGTAGGCAAGGGCCCTATAAAGAGGGTTGGCCGGCACATCAATAACGAATAAATAGTTCATTGTAGTAGTCGGGTGCTTTAATTCTACAAAGTGAAACTTGATAACACGAAGTACTGGTAACACGGTTGTTTTGAGCTATTTTATGCCCAGGTGGCCCGGTTGTTAGTTCAACCACAAAGAAGCCGTTATCAGTTATAATTACAGCTGGGCAAGTTTCTTCAAATAAATGCCCTACAACCTCGTCGACCCCTTGTAACGGCTTCTTAACTAAATTAAGATATTAAAATCTCGGGTCACTTTAACGACACATTGATACTCTGTCGCCAGAAGCGGAAAGAATGGCGCGAAACTTTGAAGGTGGATGAAAATGATCCAATGGGCAGAAAGTCATTAAGTTCGGAAAGATAAGGGGGGGAGGGAGGGGGGCAGCGCGGGCCGCCGCTGTTGATGAAGGCGAGCGCCGTGCCCGGCCTGCACGAGGCCCCGGGTTCTAATCCCAGCCGAACCAAAGGGCCTTGAAAACCTCTGCGTCAACTCAGCCCCACGGGCGGCGTGGGGCTCTCGGACAGGCACCGCGGGCCGGCCCCGCTCGCCGGGCTTCGGTTCCGGAACGCTCCGGTTCAGACCGAGCGCGGCGTGGGTCGCCGCTAGAGCTCGGGCGCAGCAGGAGGAGCGGGGCCTGGCCAGGCTCCCACCACGCCGCCGGCCGCCGCCCCGAAGCCCGGAGGTGCGTGCGTGGGGCTCGCTCTTACCATGGTGCAAACCGCGGCCTCCCCGTTTGACTCTGGCGCCGACAGCCGCGTGGGGTGGGGAGGGCGGAGGAAGAACCCGGGCGGTCGCGACGACCCCTAGCGGCCCTCGAGAGCGGCGGGACCCGAGGGAGGAACCGGACCGGGGCGGGGCCTGGGATGACGCGCAGGGCGGTGGGGGGCGGGGCCTGGGATGGGCTGGAGCGCTGAGACCAAAAGGACCTGCAGGGTTGGGGAGCGTGAACGTGGAATAGAAAAGTCCGGGGCTGGGGTGCTCTTCCCCTGCCTCAGGGGTTGCAGAGTTGTTTGTTACGTAAGTGTTCAATGTGGCTTTTGTTTTTCTGTGTGAAAGGCAACTTTGAGTCTTCGCTTTTAAGTGTGTTTTGGGGGCTAAAAAAATGGGGATTTGTCTGCAGGAAATGAGTACGTTTATAAAAGAAATTCTGTTTTTATTTTTATTACTTTTCGAGACAGGGTTTCTCTGTGTAATCCTGGCTGCCCTGGAACTTACTTTGTAGACCAAACTGACTTGGAATGAAAGGCGTGTGCCACCGCTCCTAGCCTTAGAAGGAAATCTTATACGAAGTGGTTCAGGTGTTCTGTACTGTTAGTGAATCCTAAGTATTCTGGTTCTAACCAGTAAGTATTACTGGTTGTAAGAACTTTAGCAGAGAGTAAATGGAAGCTTTCTAAATTATTCGTAGCAACTCCTGGTGAATCTGTCTCTCTGGGTTTCATTAAAATAGTAGTTCCATATGACCGGGTAAAGGTGAGTAGCAAAAAAACGTCCAAAGCTCCTACAAAGGAGAACTGGCATAGAGTAAGTATGTATCATCAAAACCTACTTGCCATATCCCAGGCTTTTGCTATCCCCTAGCAACTAGACCAGGACCTGGGTATTCTGTTGGTCACAGCATGCTTGCTAGAGTGTAAGTGGAACAGCACTTACAAGTGTATATGTGTGACATTACTAAGTCTAGGTCTGTTTCATCAACTGTGAGCCCCTGAGTGGCACAGGTTCCTTTGCTCATCTTTGTAGCCCTTCCACTGTGGGAACTCTAGCATGCTGTGCATGCTACACATATGTAGTGCATATGCATGCACTACAGAGAGGCATAAGGACGGTACGGTGGTCAAAGACTGAACGCCCGTCTACCTGTCCTGCCGTCTCACTTCTGCCAGGAGAAACCACAGCTTTAACTGGATCCTGCTGCTCTGGAAAGTGGGAGATGTGGTCCAAGTGAACAGACCGAGGTACCGGATGATGGGAGGTGCTTCTCTCTAAGTCTGATAGACACCAAAGAGCCCTTGATGGCCATGGTACCTGCTTGGAGGAGAGGAAAAGTCACAGCTGGGATGCAGGAACCCCGGTGCAAGCTCGAAACCAGCCTGATCTACATGAATTCCAGACTAGCCAGAGCAATATCAAAAGACCTTGCCTCAAAATAACCAAAAGAACAATAATAAAAAAGTGAAGAACAGAGGTGGAGATTAATAAAATAATATTATTATGTAATCCGCAGCCAGGGATGTCAGTGTAGGCCCTTATTCTAATTTCTGTTGCTTTCTCTCTCCTTTTAAGGCTAACTTTGGCCACCTCTTTCTGAGTTCCAATCTGCTGAAATAGAAAACATTGAATATGACAACTTGGATGTTGCACGCAGAGGCATTGTTTGAGAAGTGTTTATCTTGAATTCAAGGACTGTGGTAAACAGCTTCTTTGAGAAGATTAGGCGTGTGCACATTATCAAGCTCCCGGACACTGGCCTCTGCGAGGACTGCTCTGTGTATTCTAGATGGTTCTGTGGTTAGAAGTATATATCCAGGAGCTTGATGGAGGAAGGTCATTGGCTAATAAAGGAACTGCCCTGGCCCATTTTATTGGTTAGAGGACAGGTGGGAGGAGTAAACAGAACAGAACGCTGGGAGGAAGAGGAAGTGAGCTCAGAGTCTCGACAGCTCTCCTCTCGGGAGCAGATGCCTGAGAGAGACGCCATGCCCCGCTGCTCCCGGGATGAAGCTCCGACCCAGGATGGACATAGGCTAGAATCTTCCCGGTAAGCGCACCTTGGGGTGCTACACACAGATGATTAGAATGGGCTAAATTAATATGTGAGAATTAGCCTAGAAGAGAATGGGCCAAGCAGTGTTTAAAAGAATACAGTTTCCATGTAATTATTTTGGGGCATAAGCTAGCCAAGCAGGCAGCCGGGGTGCTGGGGACGCAGCCCTGCCGCCCTAATTACTACAGGAGCTTGATAGAATACAGAGACGTTTACTATGATGAGCTCTGTGTAAATAAATTCTTGGTTCCAAGAAATAATACTTGTAGTGAGGTCATTCTTGATTTCCTGCCATGACCAGGAAAAGGCCATCTCATCTTAAAACCCTTTGAAGATTATAAAGACAGACATTTAAGTAAACACACTGTCCACTGGGTCAGGATTTCCCCAGCTCCAATTTCATACCCACATCCCAGATACTACCACGTAGTCGGCAACACAACCAACAAAAACAGCAGTCAGCTTTTTTCCTTTATCCCTAGCCCAACAGTTTAGTCAAGGTGTTGAAGTATCCTACACGGTACAGAACAGCCCCCATTCCCCTCCACACAGGGAGCAATCTGTTAAATGAATATTCAGCCTGAAAATGGAGAAAACAAGCTTTATTATAATGATTTGAGATTTCTGTGCATGGTAACCATATACACACGAAACCTTGTTTCTCCTATGTTTCAAGACAGAATTAATTTAAAGTTTTATTAGACTAAAGCATCCAAAATACTGTGGTACGTATGTAGCTACGAACATCCAAACACACTGATGCACAGCGTCCATTCTTCCGTGTAAATAGGCAGTCAGCATTTCGATCCATGAAAAGAACATATGAGGAGGTTATAGCAATAATTGATGACAAAGACCAGTGTTCTATACACAGAATGTATGAGACAGATCTGTAAAGGTGGAATGTACAAAACCTTCATAGGAACGAAAAGGAAACAAACAACCTCCATACCCGTGGGCGGGCTCATAGGAAGGCTACGCAGTTGGGAATGATAATGTCGGGAGGGCACACTTGGTCGCTGACACAATACCCCAGGTCATAAAGCAAAAGTCGAGGTTAAGGCCGTGTTGCTTTCAAACGTTAATAGAAGTGCTGTACATTCATTGGAACGACATAGCTGATTGTTAATCTCTTCTAGGGTACCGATGAGTAGCAGCCATACACTCTGCACAGACAGACCACGCGATCAGCGACCACACAGTTCAACACTGGAAAGCGTCTTGAAGACTAGGGCCGTGATGTGTCGCTCACTGCCGTTTAAAGCAAAACCAAAAGAGCATCTGTTTATACCAGACAAATTTTTAATGGGCACTTAGTTTCCTTTATGGCAATGCTATAGATTCCTAGTTATCAAAAATATTAAAATAACTGTAAATTTTATAAGACCCTGCAACGCTTACAGAAAGTAACAGTATTAGGACTTTTCGATTGTAAGGGAGATCAGCTAAGGTTTGCATCAGAAAGCTTCAATTCTATCCTACTTGGAGAGTCCCTCTTCCCTCGTCAGAAGCTGGTGAGCAGAGAGAACGCCGTGGAGTCCAGACGCACACAGAGACTTTTCCCGTTTGACGTGATCTACAGATAGCCCGGTGCTGATCTGCCCTCTCGTTCCCTCTGTAGGTATTACCAAAGCAATTCTGCTAACCCTGGTGGCGTACTGCTCGTCCAGTTCATTCCCTGTGAGGACATACATACCCTGTACATGAGTGGGAGCAGTGTCCATGGACTAGGCATACTTATTGCCTCCAGTTTTGTCAAGTGCAGGAAACTCAGGGGCTTGTTTAGTCATGGAGACTAAAGTGTCACCAAAACCTTACACATCATTAAGAAAATGGCCAACAGTCAGAAAGGCTTCCTAGTTAGTGTGTTTCTGGTTGGTCAGGTGACTTCCTACCGCCCCGTGTCCAGCAGGGGAGGTTTACGAGAGAAGACACACTGTCATTAACTTATAAAACCTAACTGAAGGTATTTTGCCCTTAGTGCCCAAGGGAAATTCGAATGCTTACTTTCTCAGTGCTACGTATCATGAGTGACTCGTTCTATACAGTGGACAAAGATAAACAATCACAGTAGCCTAGAACCAAAAGAGCCACTTACTTATAAAAAAATCCTTCTTAAGTTTACCAGGAACCATTCCCATCAAATGAGACAAGATTTCATTTAGTTTTTGTCTATTTGTATCTTAGCAGCAGCACTTCCCCCCCCCCGCCCCAAAATACGCTTACCACGAAGAAATACAGTAACTGCGCACACATACCCAAGTGTAGAACGTAGTGTTTCCTGCAGTGCCCATAGCAGGGGTTTTAGTAGCTGATGGCAGACAAGATATAAGTTAAATGATTTTTTTCATTCCAGTTTGTACCATTATTCATGTGTTAAGAAAACAAAACAAAGCAAAGCAAACAAAAAACCTCAGCAGGGTAGCGGTGGTTGATCCCATGCTTTTGATCCCAGCACTTGGGAGGCAGAACAGGAGGATCTCAGTGAGTTCGAGGCCAATTTGGTCTACAAGACAAGTTCCAGGACAGCCAGGACTATTGCACAGAGAAACCCTGTCTCAAAAAAAAAAAAACAAAAACAAAAAACAAACAAACAAACAAAAAAAAACAAAAAAAAACCCAACAACAAAAAATAAATTAATTAAAAAAAACCCTTAATTTGTATTATTTCCTATTAAGATACCGAGCCTGATAAGATATTTTATATATGAGACTGATTGGTTTATGAGTTAATTTCTCAGTTCACAAATATCTCAGTGTTGTACAAAAAGAACTCATTCATTAAATTCATTTTCAAATTAATAGTTGCATTCTGAAGGCACCCATCAGTTGTAGAGCGTGTGCCTAGCATGTCTGGGGCCTGGATTCCATTCTAAGAAACAAAACAACAACAACAACAAAAAATGGCCTGTGACAAATTCTTTTTTTAAAAAAAAATGTTTTCTTCTTGTGAAAATTAACTAAAATTAATTCACTCATTTTTAAAAAGTTTCTTTTAAACAGCCCAGAAACAATCCTGCAGGCAGACTATTAATAAACAGCACAGCAGAAATCCCCTTACAGAGCTAAGCTGTAGAAGGGCAGAGATGCCTGCCTCTTCCAAGCGTCCCTCAGATCCCAGTGCCCAGATGCCCTGGCCCCAGTAGAAAGTCTGTAGACACAAATATTGACATTCATAATGAATGGGCTACAGGAACAGCCCGGTATAGGGGGCTCTTGCTTAGCATGTCTGAGGCCATGGGGTCCATGCCTAGCACAAAAAAAAAAAAAAAAAAAAAAAATCAAAACATAAAGTCAAAGGCATATATCATGGTATCCAGAAGCCGTCTTAGTTTATCACTCTGAAGCATATTTAATCTTATGTCTATCACAGACAGGCTTGGCTATTTTAAAACCCTACAGAACTGAAATAATAAGCTACACCCATTGTAAATCTCCCAAAACTGAAGTGTTTTCCCCCAGATGTTGATTTGGGCATAATAAATTAAATAAACCATTGGACGTAGCCAGATTTCCCTTCCAAATTTTTGAACGCTCCTGTATGGAGACCATTAGGACGTTAAGATAATAAGCCATAAACATCAGCATATACTTGTAAGGGAAGTGTTTCCTCAAAGTGTGGATCCAAGGTGCTTTCAACGAGAAAAATCCCAAAGTCATCACCAAACGCGTCAAACACGGTTTTCCTATTTGGCAGAACTGAGTAGAAAATCAAACCACAGTGGAAACACACCTCGTCTCATTTCACAGTATCCGTGACAGGTAATGTTCCTCAAAATGCATTTGGACTTAGGTGAAAGGTAATTCAAACCCAACGTTTAAAGACGCCTTTTTTCTTTTTTTCTTTCTTCCTCTTTGTCTTGAAAACAGAAAGCTGTTCACTGCCTGGAAGTCAGGCGTCCGCAACATGCTGGAAAATGGCAACAGGCGAGCCTGCTGGAGCGCCCCCTCCAGGAGGATGTCTTCAACTGCAGCAGCCGGGGAATGAGCTGAAGGCTGGCTGGGCGGTGCTTCTGTCTTTGCCTATTTCCACACAGCAAGGATCCGGCTATACGTATGTATTTATATATATAATATTTATAATACATTCTATCTTACCATAACCATGTATACTTGTCCCTTAACGCCTCTACTGTTCATTAGACAATGATAAACAACCATGACATGCCCATACCTGTAATGATGAACACAACTTTGGTAACACTTGCTCTCTAAGGGGAGACCGTGAATCAACCACACGCCTTTGGTTGACACCATCCATCCTCTCTGTCCTAGGACACCGGTGTCCGACTACGTGTGCTGACATTCTGCAGGAGGTAAAGCTTTCGCTTCCATGATGTGGAAGAGGAAAGACGTGAACACATGAACGTGAGTTCTCCTGATTGCTTTCCAAGTGTGTTGATCTGAAGCTAACAACCAAAGGGTCCCCCTATGCCTTCCAAAGCATCGGGAATTCCAGGTTTTCCTGAAAACGCATTTCATTTTCTGATGCAAGGTGAGTAGAAAGAGAAGGTGAGGAGAACGCACGGAAAAGATCTTTGATCGAACCCCGAAAGGTTGGGAAATTTGCATTGATTCTGATGGGCTCAACTCAAGAGGACCCTGAGTCGGAGCTGGGAAGATCTTGCAAGACAGCGTTAGATTTTTCTAAAGTAATTATATGTGGTTGTTGACAATCGAAAAAGAACAAAAATGTCACCAGAGTAATAACATCTACTGTAAAAGTGAGGTTAGAAGGTCCCTTGGTCTCATGACCGAATTTAAATAAAATAGATAACTACAAGTTTTGTTCTTGGAAGCTCGATGCAAAGGCTACCATTCATTCACCGGGCAAAAGATATGCTAATTCTTTTTAATGTCTGATTTGCAAAATTAGTTTAACTACATAAATCCCTGTCCTATGAGCCATAGTTCCCAGGTGTAAAACTTTGCAGTTTGTGTAGATTCAATAGAAGAGATTCTTTTTTTAAATGCTAAAAGTGAATTACGGAAATTGGATAAGCAGTTCTTAAGGGAATTGTTACATTCAGAAATAACCTTGGAAAGTTTACCAAAGGTTCCTCCTAGTGTGAAAAGTCCCATGGTAATCTGGTCCCACATGGAAAACTCCGTTCCAGTTTCTAGTGCAAGACCTCAGTGCAGGGCTGTCCGCTGTCACTGTAAGTACCGATAGACCTTGAAACAGTGGTTCCCAGAGTCTGCAACCACAACGTGGCCGTCTGAAGTTAGGGCCAGGCCTTGGGGGCCGTAGAGGGGGTCAGCCGACGTGTTGATGTAGGACAAAAATGATCCACTCCCATCAAAAACCTGCACACACATAAAATCGGAGCGTCATGGAAGTTACATATGATGCAGAACATGTATTTAGAAAGCATGTAAAGAGCCTTCTGGGTTTGTCCCGGCTGCCTCACACACATGATATTCGATAGTTAACCTTGCTTGTTGATTTGGCAGGATCTGGAAACAGCTGTGAGAAGGCTTCTGGGAACATCCATGAGTATATTTCCTGACAAGATTAGTTGGGGGGAAAGCAGTGTAATTCTTCCTCAACATGGGAGGTTGTGAGTGTAATGTGTGTGTGTGGTGTGTGTGACTGTATGAGTGTAGTGTGTGGTGTGTGTGAATGTCTATGTGTGTGTGAGTATGTGTGGTGTGTGTGCAGGGTGTGTAGTATGTGTATGTGTGTGTGATGTGTGAGTGTGTGTGTGTGGTGTGTGTGGTATGTGTGAGTGTGTGTGTGTGGTGTGTGTGAGAGTGTGTGTGGTGTGTAGTGTGTGTGTGGTGTATAGTGTATGATGTTTGTGTGTGTGAGTGTGTGCTGTGGTGTGTGTTTGTGTGTGTGAGTGTGTGTGGTATGTAGTGTGTGTGGTGTATAGTGTATACTGTTTGTATGTGTGTAGTATGTGTGTGGTGTGTGTTTGTGCATGTGAGTGTGTGTAGTGTGTGTGGTGTGTGTGTGTGGTGTGTGGGTGTGTGGTTTTTCTTAGTGGCAGTCAGAGGTTTTACTAAAATTACTGCTTGCTGCCTGTGTTCACAATGAAGGAAAATGAGTCTTCATGTTCAGATTAGTAAATCACCCATGTAATACTCTTTTCTTCAATAACTCTCTTGAACCCTACCTGTGAGCCCTTTAGGGGTCCGAGGAAAACAATATTCAAATCGAAAAATTAAATAAATCAATGACTTTTGCATTAGAGAACTCTATGCTAACGATGTCACCTTCTGTCTAGCTTTCCACTTAGAGTGTCCCGGGCTCACAGGAGATTAGCTATGGTGTCATGACGTAACCGAGGAGGACAGACAGCTTTCCACTGTCAGCTGTATCAGCCATGTGCTCTACCTGGATCCTGCTGTTGCCCCAGTCCGCCACAATGATGTTTCCGTTCGAATCCACGGCTACACCTGTCGGCGCGTTAAACTGCCCATTGCCTTCTCCGTTTGAGCCAAACTTCAGCATGAATTCTCCTTCCTGGTTAAATACCTGTGTGAAATATTGAAAGACTCTTTTATTGCAAATAGCTGACCCAACCACAGTGTTTAAGAGATGGCTGTCTGAGCAAGTTATTTATAACAAGTCCTGTGACTTGAGAAGCCTAGAAAAGTGGTCTATAGACTAGACTCCCGTCACTGTGATTGCCAAATTCTTTTTTTCTGCCATTTACAGCTGATTATGAAATAAAATACCTGTATTAATTTTTTATAAATTACAAAACATTATAAGAATATAAGATGTTATAATTAGAGCTGAATTTTTTTAAAAAAATACTAATAATAATGTTATTCTATCTTCAAATAAGTAGTTTTATTTACTGAATAAAGAAAAATTCAGGAATTGAGACTAGATCTCTATAGGGTGGATTGTCATTCAGTTTGGATCAGGATTTTGTTAAGCCAAATATTCACAATTTATTATCATTTTACTGTATCAACACAATAAGAACAGTAGGGCTGAGTGCCGTACTTAGAATGCATTATGTGTGCCAATGTGTGCAGAAATATACAGTGGCCATGGGCGAAGGACACACAAGGACTGTTTTATTTGCTTCAGAAGGTACTTTAGTTAAAACAGAGAAATTTAAATTTTAGTTATAAATTCTAAGGCCACCATGATTAGAACCAACAAAGGCAGGGCTGGAGAGATGGCTTAGAGGTTAAGAGCACTGACTGCTCTTCCAGAAGATCTGAGTTCAATTCCCAGCCACCCACATAGTGGCTCACGACCACCTGTGTCCTCTTCTGGCCTGCAGACAGATCACTCATACATTAAAAAAAAAAAAAAAAAGAACCAAAGAAGCAACAGAGGTTATTCTAAGTGCAGAATGAAGAACTCTTAAGGAAATATCTCTGATGCCTGCTGTGATTGATCAGTCAGTTACTGTGCCTACCTGGCTTAGTTGTCTCATGATTAAAACAAAATCCTTGCAGGATCTCTGCTCCTCTGCATTTTACTTTCCTCGGTCCTAGCTGCCTGTAACCATGGCAGGAAAGTAAGTAGGAAATTCCAGAAAAAAGGCACAGTTTCAAGTTAACGCCTGCAGCAGGATGCTGTTACAATTGATCCATTTTATAATTAGTTATCATGGTTAATTGTTGCCTTTGTATCTGAAATGTGTCTCCATGGCTACATATGTTGAAGGTCTGGGCCCCAAAGACAGGGATGCTCAGAGGTGGACTTTCTAGGACGTGAGTAGTTCTAAGGCTCTGACCTCATCAATGGATTGGTTTACTGACGGGCTCGTGACTGAACGGACTAGTAGTGAGTGGCCCAGACTGAAGGCAACGTAACCTGTCTGGATGAAGTAGGTCACCATCACCAAGGCGTGTTCTTGGAGGAATAACTCATCCCCAGGCTCTGTCTCAGCCTCTCTTTCTCTTTGTTTCTGCAAGTAATTATGACTGAAACCCTGAGACCGCAAACAAAAAGAAAGCTTTGCTTGGATTTGTTATTCTCCAGCATTTTAACACAGCGACAGAAAGCTGATATGACTGCTTTTAGTGTCGTTTCTAGGAATTAAACTTTATCGTTAAGTATGTAAACAGAAGAAAACATAGCATCTATAGAATCTAGACTATTTGTGGCTATTTGTAACTTGGTGTCCACTAGGGGTCTTACAACATATCCCTGAATAACACTGGTAGCTTTGAAAGAAAGAAAGGAAGGAAGAAAGGAAGGAGGGAGGGAGGGAAGAAGGAAGGAAGGAAGAAAACCCAACTATAGTAGAGTACTCATTAACTCTGACTTATGGTTTTTACGTTTACTAAGCAAGAATCACCTGATACTACTAACAGCTGTAACATGGGAAACAAAACCCATGCGTTCCCTGCAACAGCTATCAGAGAGAAAAAAATAAATTGCTATGATGTTCTTACGATGAAAAGTGAGCCCGAATAGTTGAAAGAACATCTCTACACCCTGAGACCGTCCCTTCTGGAACTTTAATGGTTGCAAACCTCCTATCTTTCCTGCTCCCCCCAATGGCACCTAGTTACTCACACATCTCTCAGAAGAACACAGTCTAAGAGCTGAAATAATTTTATGGCTTCACGTTTTGTACCTGGATGGAGTTGCCGTTTAATAATATTGGCATTAATTCTTTCCTGATCTCGCAATCCTGCGCATACTGGCTATCACCCCCACTTCAAAGTTTCCCCTAACTGTCATAATTGTGGTTCCTCCACCTTGGTGCAGGGGCCTGAACCCGGCACCTGGAACACGATAAGCATTTCCAGCCAGACCACTTTCTCTGCAAAAGCAGTTCAGAGCTAACAACGGGCATGCTGATCGTACCTTGACGGAATGATTATGGAAATCTGTAACGATGATCTCGTTATTGCTATTCACAGCTGCGAAATGGGGACCTGCAACAGAATGAGGGGGAGAACACATGAGGGTCCCAGCGGTGACGATGCATGGGGCACAGCACACGGGTAACACAGCACACGGGATAGGTAACACAGCACACGGGTAACACAGCACACGGGATAGGTAACACAGCACACAGGCAGCACAGCACGCTCCGCCACAGCACACACGGGTAGGTAACACAGCACACGGGGTAGGTAACACAGCACACGGGTAACACAGCATGCGCCACCACACAGCACACGGGCAACACAGCACACACCACCACACAGCACACAGGTAACACAGCAGGCACCGCTGCACAGCACACACAATTACACTGCACACGGGCAACATGTTGACTCAATTAATGAAGAAAGGACAAAGAACCAGAGGCCCAGCTCACAATCACTCAGCCAGACATCTAGCTCCGGACAAGCTGGATTCTGCACTTTCTAAACTTGGGGCTGTGTGATCTGGCCTCTCCCCCAGTGCACACAGAAGAGTGGAGTCCTGGCCTTTCTCTGTACCACCCTCTGCAAGCCACACCCACTACCTCTTCCTTTTTTCTAAGTGGAAGTGATGGAGTCCTACAAAGAGCATTGTCATCCTCAGCTCTGGGAAAGAGGCTCCAAAGTAATTTTTCTACTGAAAAGACTGAGCAGAAGTCCTGCGTTTTATAGCCCTGAGTGACTGTTGAGAATCTGGGCCAGACAAAGAGTGAGAGAATGACCACGAAGAGAGAAGACGCCAGCTAACGCTAAATCCCCCCAGGCAACCTTTTAAAGGAAACCAATGGGCCGTGCTCAACCTTTTCCTGCAGATGTGTGCATCCCAACAAGCTTGTGATGGCAAAGTTGCCCAGAGCAAAGTAAAACAGATTGCCTTCGCTGCTCTAAGCAAATGCCCTACACCCCTGTTTGTGTATGGTAACCTACAAAAGTGAGATCAACGCCATCCCCAGGCTCCTTAGTGAAACTGCGTCCATGGGAAACAGCCAGTCATTGCTCTTCACACTTGTGGGGTTTTTAAAAAAATATTTTATTTTAAAAGGTACTGTTTTACTTAATATGCATATTTGAAAATCTGATGTCTGCTGCCGTCCGTAAAAACCATACAAAGGTTGCCCTTTCAACTGAGCCTTCTCAGGACGGCTTCCACTTTGCTCCCACCTCCAACACTGTCCCCCAAAGCCAGCACGCACACTGGGGATGGGGCGCCTTCAACATGCTCAGACATGCAAACATGAGCGGAAGAGGCATAAAAGAGAGGGTTTACATATTACCATCGAGTGTACCTGCAAACTGCCTGTCGCCATTGCCTCGGCTACCAAACCTGGTGACTATCTTCCCGTTCGGCTGGAAGATGAACACGCAGCAAGCCTTGTTGTCCACCACAATAATGTGTCCGTTGCGGTCCACAGAAACTCCTTTAGGTCCCATCAGTTTTCCCGATCCGATTTTTGTCTGTTGGAAACAAGTCCAGGAACTGAGTATAGACATCGATGTTCAAAGCGTTACAGAACCAATCTGAAGCCAGGTAGTTGTCTTAGAAAGTCATTTGCTGGAATGTTCTGGGTACCACATGGAACAATGGTATCTCTGTCCCAGAAAACTGGCCCTGCCATATTCAGCATCTGCTACTGGCATTTATATAAACCTTATTCTTAAGAAGTATTTGCCACCAAAATTGGGCCACTGTGCCCTTCTGAATTGACACTTGATGAGAGACCGCAGGGTCTAGAGAAAGACACCTTACCCCTGCCGCTGGCTGTCAGCACATCTGAAGTCGCACTGACAGATTCACTCATTCTCTTTAACCTTAGGATTCCTTATATTTTTTTCTAGGATGTTTTAAGAAGCAACTTTAATGACATCCCATGTTACTTTAGGAGCAAATGGTAAGTAAAATAGTGTCAAAGATTCAATGTAAGCAAAGCAAGCAGTCACCAAATGGAGACCATCACACTCAGCATTAAAATCTCAGGCATGTGCATTAAACCTTACTAGACTTGAGCTCTACGTGGTTGGAAGTCACAGCTGTCCCGACTTGCACTGTGTGCTCAAAGCCGCCCACACTTACTGACATATAAGTAGTACCTGACACATATTTGTTTACCACGTTAAAAAACAAAAGCCTAGAATTACTTATAAGCTAACGTACTATTTGCACGTGTGTGTATGTGTTATGTGGGAAGGTAAATGTATGTGTGTGGTACGTGTGTGTGGAAGCCAGAGGTCAACTTTGGGTGTTGTTCACCAGGAGACACATACCTCGTGTTTTGAGGCAGAGTTCTCTCATTGGCTTCCAGCTTGCAAACCAGGGAAGTAGAGGCAGGAGGTAGGCCAGGGATCCCTGGGATCTTCCCTTCTTAGCCTTACCAGCACACATTATCACCTGGCATTTTTTTTTTTTTAGCATGTGTTTTGGGGATAAAACTCAGGTTCCCATGCTTACACAGCCAGTACTTTATAGACTGAGGCATCTCTTCAGTTGCCCAATCATGACTAAATCCTCTAATTTTCACAGTTGGTGTGGGAGGGCCTTCTGTCTGTGTGTTGCTTTTATTTAATAAGGGGGAGCAGAGCATTAGCGTTCTTCTCAACCATATGCTTCCATATACTTTAGTTCTGCGTTTATAGATTCAACTGTCGGAACACAGTCAAAAGAATGACCCACGGTGAACCATGTCTTAGGGAACCGTGAGAGAGGCTTCAGGGAAAAAGACACAGGGCCTTTGCTCTCAGGTGCATTTCGTGCCCTGGATTGCTCTTGGACAGGTTTATGCACCTTCTGTGACAAACATTTACATCAAATTTATAAGACATGTTGATTCTTGTTGGATATCAGAACACAGTTATAGAACCCGACCTGGTCAGTGGACCCTGAATCTAGATATGGCCTTCTGCCTGGCTTTGGTGCTTTCCCAGATATAATGTATAGAACACGCCAGGCAATAGTGTTTAAATTGTTCTGTCCTGAGAAAGTTCTAGGAAAGAGCTGCTCTGTTAATATTTAGTATGGGCTTAATAGTGTTTATTTAAATGCTTTTCTTCCTTTCTTTTTTTTTTCTTTTGGTTTTTCAAGACAGAGTTCCTCTGTGTATCTCTGGGTGGTTCTGGAACTCACCCTATATAGACCGGGTTGGCCTTGAACCCACAGAGACCTGCCTATCTTCGCCTTCCTGAGTGCTGGGATCAAAGGTGCACCACCATCACCTAGCTATTTTTCTGATCATGCTTCTGAGAACTCAAGCAACCTTCATTGGAACATTGCTTGCTTTGTTCTATTCATGTATAAAAATATACTGAAACCAAAGCAAGGTGGTCTAAGTATTAGACTGTAGTCTGCCCCATTCTTTCAGGTCCTCAGATCCCAGGTCCAGCAGACAAGATCTCCACAGGTCAATGAAAGCTGACTTTCAACCAACCTCATATCAAAGATATTTGGGGGGGACACCCCGCTTGTATCTCTTCTGAATGTATGTAGACTTTTTTCTTGTTACAGTTCCCTAGATAATACAACATAATAAATATCTACAAGGCACTTACATTGTATCAGGTGTAAGTAATCTAGAGATGATTAAGTATATAGGTATGAATGGCAAACTGTATCATTTTGTAGGAGAAACTTTGAACAATCTTGGGTCGTGGAGTTCATGGGAGATTCTGGAACCAACCCCACATGGAGACTGCACTTCTGGGGAATAAAAGTCAGACACCAGAGGCTTCAGCCTAAAATGTGGGGTCAGTGAAGGCAAGAAGAATTCTTATGGTGTGGAATTCCCCTCTGTATGCCGTGAATACCATTGGTTAATAAACTGTCTTGGGCCTGTGCAGGGAATAGAGGTAGGCAGGGAAAACTAAACTGCATGCTGGGAGAAAGGAGGAGGAGTTAGTGAGAAGCCATGGACCTTTTGCAGGAGATAGATGCGCTAAAACTTTGTTGGTGCCATGACCTCGTGGTGATGCACAGATTAATGGAGGTGGACTAAATTAAGATGTAAGGGTTAGCCAATAAGAAGTTAGAGTTAATGGGCCAAGTAGTGGTTCAATCAATATAGTTTCTGGGTGATTATTTTGGTGATGAGCAGCCAGGAACCAACAAGTGGCCTCCCTACTACACTCTTATTTTTTATTTTAGATTTTTTTTGTACACGTTTTTAAAGCCTATTTGCAGTGTCTTTTAAATTAAAAATCAATCCCCACCAATTACATTTTCTATGTTCTGCTCCAGAGTCCTTTCTGCCTATATTTTAGCACTACCTGATGATAATCTGTGAGCCCCAGTGAACGCTTTAGTTTGTTATTTATTTGTTTTACTTTATGTGTATGAGTGTCTTCCGGACATGCGTGTCTGTGCGCGATGTGTGTGGTTAGTGACTTAAGAGGTCAGAAGAAGGCATCAGAGCCCCAGAACCGCAGTGACAGCACATGTGGGGCCGGGTTCTCTACAAGAACAACAAATGCTTCATCCACCGCCTCTTCATCATGGTCTCTCCAGCCTCCATGTATATTTTCTTAATTTCCTGATACAGCAATGGAGCTTTCCCCAAGCAAGACTTCTCATGGGAGGCTTTGTTCTTCAAAGTTTACAAATGACAGCGATTCAGATGTGACCTCGTTCGAGCAGAGAGACACAAAGGCGTTGAAAGGAAGCATTTCATCTTAGGCCAGGGAATCGTGATGTGGGAGTGATTTCTTATTAATAAAGAAACTGCCTAGACCCATTTGATAGGCCAACCCTTAGGTAGGTGGAGTAAACAGAACGGAATGCTGGGAGAAAGAAGCTGAGTCAGGGAGTCGCCATGATTCTCCCACTCCAGACAGATGCAGGTTAAGATCATTCCTGGTAAGCCAGCTCGTGGGCTACACAGATTAATAGAAATGGGTTAGATCAATATGTAAAAGCTAGCCAATAAGAAACTGAAACTAATGGGTCAGGCAGTGTTTAAAAGAATACAGTTTCCGTGTAATTATTTCGGGTAAAGCTAGCCGGGTGGCAGGACACAGCCCGCCGCTCCATACTTCAACAGAGTGGCACCCAACATGCTAATGAACTCCACGTAAAACCTGAGAGGGCTTAAAAAGGAGAGAGAGAGAATTTAAGACAGCTTTTTGCTGTTTCTGGGTTGCGTGCCGCAAAAAAATTGTCCTGACTCAGTAGCAGGAAAAAACTGGCTGTTTTAAAATGCCGGCTTTCTGGGCTGTGCCGCCATTGCCATCTCTGTCTGGCTCCTGTGGGAGACAGAGCTTTTGAATGGAGCATTTGGAGTAAAGCTCTACGGCTTGCTTGATGGCAATGTGGACTGCTGTGTGCCTGGAACTGTGTGTGGCTCAGGGGCATCAAATGGCTCTGAGGCAGGAGCCGCTTGGCTCAGCTCTGCCATGCTAAACTGTGCTGGTCTCAGGCAGGAACTACCGTAATTACCATAAAAACAGCGCAGTTAAGGTTTCAACTGGGCAGGACACAGATGGTACCGTATTACCTGTACATGGTGCAACTTAAGTTTTTAAGAACTGCTTAACATTTTAAAAAATGCTCCTGGATAGTAAAAAAAATGTTACAGATTCACAATAAAACAGATTCAGACATAAAAGACCACACTGTTGGATGAATGTACATAGGCTTGAGAGAGAGAAGAAAAAGAATATAGAAAATAAAGTTAATGGTTTAAAAAAAAAAAGGTAAAGTCTTTAAAGAGACAGAGTACAGATAGTTAAGAGATTAAAAGAAATAAAGAAAAATAAGCCACGTAAAAATGGAAAATTCACAGAGAGTCTGGATTATGTACATTGTGTTTTCTTTAAAATTTTTGACTGTGAAGGAGCTAAGTACAGAGAGACATTTCATTCTATGGGCTGCCAAGTGGAACCAAAACGGATATCATGAGGGTATGACTTCAGAATTTGGGCCTAAGGATATGATGCTTTGGAAAGGGTCTTCTTTTGTTTTCACAGAGGACCAGACCCTATGGATTGCATCTATCCCGATATGGTATGATAGACCACGACCTCCCGAAAACTTCCTGTGACCACCCTCAAAAAATTACTTCACTCAACTGCCAACTGAGATAAACCTGGCACACAGGTTACACCCTAAATGATCTGATTAACAGCACCCCCATTCAGCAGGAAGCAGTTTGGAGAGAAAAAACTGCGCCCATGTTCCCAAAATATTGTTTGTAAATGTTCTTTTACATTTAAAGGGGGAAATGATATAGGTATGAGTAATTTGCATTGGTGTGGATTTTACAGTCAATTTTGTTATATGTATTTCTGATCTTGATTAAGGTATTGTGATTGTGTAGTTCATTTAAAAATGTAATGTATAATTAAGAAATATAGGTTAATGGTTAATCATCAATAATAGTCAAGCTTGTAGTCATGTTAGTTAGATTTTCTAAATATATAGAGATACATTTCAGTTAGAGAGACATTCTTCATATCTTTCAAAGACTGCAGGATATGGCATTTAATGTTTTAATAACTTAGGACTTTTCATGACAATGAGACATATCTGCTCCTGGTGGCACCAATCTACTTCGAGAGGAAGATGGGCATCGAAGAGGATCCTTATGGAGTTGGATAGCCATTTGGGCAAGAAACTGCTCTTGCCTGGACTGTTGCATAAAATGGACACAGAGAACCCGCAGAGAGAGGACTGCTAAACTTGCCTAAAGGTGAGACGGTCTTTTGGGGTTCATGACTCATGAAAGAGTCTGCGAGACATTCTGCAGGACACAGCAGATAGTGACTGAACTGTCTTTGAAATTTCCTGCTTCATGGAAATGTCTGCTGGATACTATGGGCCTGAAGGCTGAAGATGGATGCCCCAACCATACAAAAGAACTTTGGGTGACTGTCCAGGCAGCAAGATGTCTCTGTCATTTCTAGAGTTTTCTTATTTCTTGTTTACTTAGGTAGTATTATATCCTTCTGGAGTCTTTGATGGAGTTGAAAAATGAATAGATAGTTATAGTTTTCCTTAGTTATGATAAAAGATAAAATAGATATAAATATTGTAACTGTAATTCTTGCTTGATAACTGTTTTGCTATATGTAATTTTACTATGTTAAAGTTAAAGCCTTTCTTTTTTGTTTAAACAGAAAAAGGGGAAATGATGTGGGAGTGATTTCTTATTAATAAAGAAACTGCCTAGACCCATTTGATAGGCCAACCCTTAGGTAGGTGGAGTAAACAGAACGGAATGCTGGGAGAAAGAAGCTGAGTCAGGGAGTCGCCATGATTCTCCCACTCCAGACAGATGCAGGTTAAGATCATTCCTGGTAAGCCAGCTCGTGGGCTACACAGATTAATAGAAATGGGTTAGATCAATATGTAAAAGCTAGCCAATAAGAAACTGAAACTAATGGGTCAGGCAGTGTTTAAAAGAATACAGTTTCCGTGTAATTATTTCGGGTAAAGCTAGCCGGGTGGCAGGACACAGCCCGCCACTCCATACTTCAACAGAATCGCTTGTGTAAGTTTGACTCTCACGCTGCAATGGAGCCCGAGGATCAAAGGGGCTCTAACATAATGGCACAGACGGCAATCGCTCACGTGCTTTCAAGTCTGAAAGGAAGGTGTCATGCCAGATCAAAAGGAGAGCTGGCACCCTGTTCGTTACTGCCTAATACGACTACTACTTAACATTACAGACAACAATAGTTACTCGGAGTGACTCAACCATATAATAGCAAGTGGATAATTATCTAGAATGAAAACAGAAGCCAAAGAATTATCTTAGTTCCACCATAGGATGCCGACTGGGCAGATCGACAAGCACAACTCAAGGCTGAATCCAAATGTCCCACTCCTCCTCCTTTTGTTTCCAGTTCAACTGCACTAAATTCTGCAAAGCTGAATAAGAAGCCATGTGTTTCACCTCACTGTGTTTCCTTGCCATCTTAGAACAGTAAGAAACATAGTTCAGAGTTTGTCATTAGACAGTCAAATGAGAACACCTAACAAATGGCTTGCAAATTCAAGAGGGAAAAGCTAAAACATTTTAGAATATAGTGTCCATAAAGGTCACCAGATTTGTGCTCATTTCTGATTAACAAAGACTCCCAAATGGGTTAGAAGGTATAAGACATGAGGGAAGATGAAAGAGAAAACAGTAAAGGGGGCAGAGAGTGATAAACATTACACTATAAGACTGTCTGTAAAAACAGTAGTAAGATGCTACACATCTGAGGTAGTTAGGAATAAATACAAAGATTGTGCTGTGGTAGAAGGCAAGTCAGTTACTCTGTTGATTTCACCAAGTCCCATTAAAGAAGCAAAATTAATCATCTCTGCTACATTGTAGCCTGCACGTCTGGGTCCAGATGCTATATTGTAGCCTTCATGGCTGGGTCCGGATGCTACATTGTTGCCTTCACGGCTGGGTCCAGATGCTACATTGTAGCCTTCACGGTTGGGTCTGGATGCTACACTGTTGCCTTCACATCTGGGTCTGAATGCTACATTGTGTCCTTCACATCTGGGTCCAGATGCTACATTGTAACCTGCACGTCTGGGTCCGGATGCTACATTGTAGCCTGAACGTCTGGGTCCATATGCTACATTGTAGCCTGAACATCTGGGTCCAGATGCTACATTGTAACCTGCACGTCTGGGTCTGGATGCTACATTGTAGCCTGCACATCTGGGTCCAGATGCTACATTGTAGCCTGCACATCTTGGTGAACTCCTCCCACCACCCCTTCCTCCCCCCATTGGCCAAAACATTTATTCATCAACCAATAAAAGCAACACATATACAGAAGAGCATCCCACATCAGCTTAGAGTTTCAGAGGGTGAGTCCATGACCATCATGGTGGCAAGCATGGCAGAAGGCAAGCATGATTCTGGAGCATCAACTGAGAGCTCACATGTTGAAGCAACAAGGGAGAGCAAGTGCTAACTGGAATGATGTGGGCTTTTGAAATCTTGAAGCACACCACGGTGAAATACCTTCCTCAACAAGGCTGTACCTCCTAATCCTTCCCAGCCAGTTCTACCAACCGGGAGCCAGACACGGAAATATATTAGACTATTTGGGCTATTCTCATTAAAAAAAAAAAAAAACACACACATAATTCCTTCTAGTTCCACTTGTGCTGTCACAGATAATAGAATTGCCTTCTTATGTTGCATTGTGCATGCCACGTTTTCTGGGTGAACTTTTTTTTTTTTTTTTTTTTTACAGTACTCAGATCCTTTCATTGTGCTATTCCTTTACCTTAATGGGTTCTCATCAACATCTGTCTTAAAGAGGTTCTTAATGCAGTAGGGAACATCCCTCCCCCATCCTCTAGGGGGCACAAGTGCTTTACAGTGTTGACTGCACTGACTGCCAGCAGTGCCCAATTTTAAGACCCGTTTTTCCAAGTATTTATTACAAGTACTGAAATATCAAGTCATGAGCGTGAAACGTCTCCATCAGGGAGTCCCTCTCTCTTCACTAGCAAAACTCAGTTTTCAGAAGCGGCTGCAGCCTGGGCTCCCCATGTACAGATCAATAACCATTTTTGCTGGAGTATGAGAAAAGATATAACTAGGTTTCTCCAGATGAGGACTTTTGAAAGGAAAGCTACCGGTAGGTTTTCCTCATGTTCCTAGCAGAGCCATCAGATTTGGGTGTTGGAAGATACAGGAAGACGAGAGAACTTTCTGGACACAGGACCATTATATGGAGCGGTTTCTAGCAGCACAAAAAGTTCAGGGTCTACTGAATACCCATGTGCAATAATGCAATGTTTCTTTTATTTCCGTGGGTTGAAAAGGTACTGCCCCACATAACACAAGGCCTCTAATCTAAGAGTAAAATGCATGTGACTCATCTCATAAATATTATCTTGTAAATATCATGAGATGACCAGGACAACCCAAAGACTTCAAATGCTTTCAACCAGAGACTGAGTGAGATCCGCTTTCAAGATCCCAGAATGGGAAGGAAGGGAGGTCACTGGGGCATATCTCTGAAGGAGGCCATGGAGCCCGATCGCTTCCTCTTCCCTCTGCTTTCCTCCCTCCCTCATGTATTTCACTTTGCCACAGGACCAAGGCACATGAGCTAAGCGACAGTGGACTGAAGACCTGCAAAATTGTGGACCACACTAAATATTTCCTAAGTCAATTTTCTTAGACAATTTGTCTCAGCAATAAAGAGCTGACTAACAGAAACACCATGTTTACATTTTGCCAAAAGGGGCTAGAAGGGTATCGTACATAACACACGAGAGGATCCCAGGGTGTAGGGGAACTGGCGCCATCGCTAGGCAATAGCACATATCCCATGACAGGATCCCAGGATGTAGGGGAACTGGCGCCATCGCTAGGCGATAGCACATATCCCATGACAGGATCCCAGGATGTAGGGGAACTGGCGCCATCGCTAGGCAATAGCACATATCCCATGACAGGATCCCAGGATGTAGGGGAACTGGCGCCATCGCTAGGCGATAGCACATATCCCATGACAGGATCCCAGGATGTAGGGGAACTGGCGCCATCGCTAGGCGATAGCACATATCCCATGACAGGATCCCAGGATGTAGGGGTACTGGCGCCATCGCTGTACAGCCTCTGTTTTGTTTTCCTTCCTAGTTCTATGTGACATTCTTTAATCTTGTGTTTTCAGGTTATAACAAATAATGTATGACTGACATTCAATGTGTTTGTTTTAAAGGTGGGAAATGTACATTTTCATGTTGTTTCTCCTGTGTCTTCCACCACAGACCTGAGAAAGTAAAATGTACTTTGTGACAGTTTGAAAATTAATTGAGAATCACAAACTGCTACTTTATAACCCTTTGTAGGAGACTTTGTTTCTTCTGAAATCAAATTGAAGTAACCAATATAGTTTTCCAGTAAGCATGATATTTTTAAAGTAAGCAAGCAAACTATTGCTTTATAAAATAAATCACATGTAGACTATATAGGTGTGTGTGCATGTATATGTATCTATATGCATATATATGTATGTGTGTGCACATGTATGTGTGTATTCATATGAATGTGTGCAAATGCATGTGTGTGAGAGAAAGCAAGTTTATAAAATTATCACAGCTACTCTCATTTTATAAAACTGAGATTGATGACTCCATATGAATAATTATGGAATATTGGATTGGATTTAAACAAAGAATAACATAATTTAATGCCACTTTTTTTGTTCTTTCTATTATTTACGGGCCAAATGGTGGTCACCCTTACCTTAAACTTTCCATCATTGGAGAAAATGCTAACCCACTTGTTATCATAATCTGCGATGATGATGTCCCCACTGGGGTGCACTGCAACTCCCGTGGGCCGCTGTAGCTGTCCAGGTGATCGTCCTCGGATGCCAAAGCGGCTTTTGAATTGTCCATCATTGGAAAATATCTATGCAATGAATTTAGATTCATTAGAATCTGAACTAGCACAAAAATCCGTGGAGCAAGAAAAGGCATTTGTCATATACACTATACATCAGAACATATCAGTGCTGTTTAAGAAAGTCCCATGCACACACACACACACACGCGCACACACACACATGTGCACACAACAAAACAAAACTAAAACAAACAAAAACAAAAGTTTACGTATTCCTTTTGTTTCTTCCCCATACCATTTATCTTGACTCTAACACAGAGAAGCACACACCCATCTCTAGCCAACATGAGCAGTCAGAGGAACACACGTAGGACTATACCTGCACACACTGGTTATTACTATCTGCAATTAATATCTTTCCACTTGTGGATGCAGCTACACCCTGAAGGTTTGTGAATTCTCCTTTATTTCTTCCTTTGGTACCTAAGGATAAATGAGAAAAGCACAGAAATTAAGTTACAGAGAAATAGATTAGGAAAAGAATAGTCTCAGCTTCCATAAGTAGCCTGAGAATACAATGTCCTTTTTCTTTCTCGCGGTAGGGATGACACCCGTGGCCACAGACTCTGCGCTGCCCTTGATACATACAGAGAGGAGTGGGAGGAGGATGTCCCCTATGACTGAATCCATGGACTACTCACCCTCTCTCTCAGAGCAATAAAGTCTTTGCAAAATCACTTTCAATCAAATTCTAATTTTCTCTAATCAATTTGTAGCGGAGTATTAAAGTGATATAATTAATTAATATAACATTAATGTCATATTAATTAAAATATATTCAGCTTTCACAAAGAAATAATAAAAATATTCTAACCAGGGAGCTTCAGCCAGAGTCGGGGTGCATTTTAGAGTTCTGGCAGAATCTCACTCTCCTACTCGGTAGCCCTCAGGGGATGCCTGGACATTTCATGTTCTGAGCACGTCCATTAGCCACACTGAAGTCACAGACGTCATGAGTGAGCAGTGTGGTCTCACATGCTGGGCCCACTTCCGCATTCTTCCCTAAGACTCAAATTCGACTTAAGGGCTGTGTACAATCCTGATACCTCACCCTACTTGAATTTTGTCTGTTTCTTTTTCTGATTGGCCTTGAGTTTGTTCCTGGCCTTCGTCTCCACAGCCCTGGGCTGAAGGTCAAACCTATCCAACTTGGCCACTAGACTCTTTGGTTGCAAGGACAAATGAGAAGGAGGGACGGAAATAAGTGTCCCATCAGTATATTAATGGTTACCCCTTTTTATTTCAAAAGAAATAAAAATGCTGAATACCAATGGGTGGAAACAGATACAGTACCTAAAATATACTTAGAAAGTTTAATTTCAATTCCTAGTGAGAAAAATTAATTACAACTTAATTTATATTAAAAGAGCTGTTTAATATCTTTTAGTCATCCATATAGTGACCAAGGAAAGAGGAGGAGGGCATGCCGAGTGGGGCTGGTGTCAGGCTCAGGCTGACTCTTCAGAAACAGACCTGGCCTTAAGAGTGAAACTGGTGAGGGATAAAACTCCAGAACAAATCAAGAATAGAACTGCTGAGCCAGACAGTTTGGGATCAGCTGGTTTTCAACAGACCCCAGTGGCCATCCTTGTAACAATGTCGGGGGTCCTCTTAAGTTTGTGTCTTCTGTGTCTAATCGCTGCAAGATTCAGACCCCCAAAGATAAAGTTCTGCATCACGAAGGAAGCCACCATTTCATCAGATGTATCAGTTTGTCCACAAGGATCTTTGCGGAACGCATGAACACAGAACGAGTGAATGTGCTTTTCAAATGGTGTGAGAGAGCAGGGCACTGAGGTGCCCAATGGAGCCCCAGCAAGCCGCGGCTTGAACCCAGGAGTTCAAAGCCAGCCCGGACAACATCTGTGAAAACCAGGCTCACAACAAGTAAACAGACAAATGAATACAAAGAAAAGGATAAACAAGATGAGTCGGTTTCTGGCCGTACAGCTGAGGAAGCCACGGCTGACCCTGTAAAGAAGGCAGCGCCCAAGAGATTCGTTTGGGGCTCCCTGCTGATGTACGAATAACTGAACACAGGAATACCGAACTCAAGAACAGGAAAAGAAAGAATTCTACAACGTTCACTTTGCAAACATCTTTTTTAAAGGTGGTAAGGCCAGTGCTCTGAAGAAAAGTTAGAACCCAAACCTCTGGTTTTTCAAAAATCCACCTATCATCCCAGTGCACCCAAGGATGAGCTGAAGAAGGAGAACGACTCAAGACAGACAATCCCTGCCTCAAAATAAATAAATACATTTAATATATATATATATATAAATATATATATAAATATATATACGTATATATATGTATATATATATATATAAATCATGAAGTTATCGGGAGGAGACATCACAACCAGTTTTGAAAGCAAGAGTCTTGGGGATGGGTGAGATGACTCAGGTCAGTCCCAGAAGCCTGGAACCCTCGGAACCATGTAAAGGTGGGAGAGAAAACAGACACACAAGTTGTCCTTACACAGTGCAGCGGCATGTCTCTCTCTCTCTCTCTCTCTCTCTCTCTCTCTCTCTCTCTCACACACACACACACACACACACACTAATAATAATAATAAATAATAATAGAAATAATAATTATACTATTTTAAAGAGCAAGAACCTTATAACTGGGAGTGGAACAAAAACAAAAGAAATGACCTTAAAGACACCCAGTGTAGTAGGGCCTTGCGCATGCAGGTGATGGGGCATACAAGGGGAGAGTGGCTAAGAGACACCTGAGCAGACAGATGAATGTAGATCGCTGTCCTTCAGGTTCAGGCAGGGACAAACATGGCCTGTGGGTCTCCTTCATTTAACCTTTTGTCTGTTCTGTTAAGCACAAAGGCCAACGTGTTTCTAGAAGACTCAGTAGGTAGCAGGGAATGGAGAAAGCAGGGTCAGCGAGAGTGATCATCATCTGGTTACAAAGATCCCACTTGCTTAAGAGAACACACGGACAGTGCTGGAAAAAGGAAAATGCAGGCACCCTAAACACCAGCACGTGTTTGTGCCATACAAAAATGAGGCCACGTTTCTGAGCATCAGTAGAAACAGGAAATAACCGCATTTGGGGGCAGGAAGACATTTAGTTAAACTCCGTGTTAATCCAGTCAGAACCCTGGGGCGGAAAGATTCTGTCTTTCTTGCAATCAATGAGAGGCTTGGGAGCCACCAACTCTGGGTCACCAGAGCACTGGAACAAAGCACACAGCTAAAGAGGTTTGGCAGGCTCAGCAAGGTCCCCCAGCAGGTAAAGCCATTACCACTCAATGTACTTGCAAGCCTGAGTTCCTATCCGGAATCCCACATAAAAGAAAGAGAAAATTGCCTCCTAAAAGTAGTTATCCTCTGACTTTCTCATACATGTCTTCTCTCTCTCCCTCCCCCCCCACTCTCTCTCACACACACACACAGAGCACTTTCCTAGTGTTCAAGACCTTGGGCTCAAGCCTTGACTACACAGGTGTACAGACACACACACACACACAAAGCACTGGAAATAGGTAATTAATATGAGTTCTTCCATAACAAAGATATGAAAAACAATACATAGATAGATAGTGCTTACCAAATCTTTTCCTGTCTAATTTAATGTAAATAAAAGATAATTTTTACAATTACTTGCATTGGCTACTAAATAATCAACAGAATGTTAAGTAAGTGGCTTGGTCCCCAGTCTATAGCCCTAGTGGGAGGTGGTTCAACCTTTAAGATGCAGGGCTTCATAGAAGGCAGTTAGGTCATTGGTGAAGTACCTTGAGAAAGATTTGGGGTCTTCAGCACCTATTAATGTAGGGTTCAAGAAAACGCTGAAGGAAGACCCCAGACTCAAATAGTATGCAAAAACAGAGAGTGGTTACTAATACTCCAGTATGCAAGGTCGACACCTATACAAAATGGTAGCGACCCTGAGAGGAGCATGCAGGCTCCTTTTAAGCACAGTTAAGGGAATCTCAGGGGTAGTTAGCTCATCTTGAACATAATTGGTTAAGCAAGCAGCAGTTACACTAGTATATTTTTAATTGGCTGAGGTTTAGTCTTACCATTTTTGGACATACTTGCACAAGTTTGGGCAACTCCAGACACAACCCAGAAGGGGCTGCAGAGCTTGTCCTTAGACATTGTGAGGCTGCATTAGGCCTTGTAAGTGTTCTTTCCCTTGTCCCTGAATGCAAGGATGTTGTGGAAAAAGTGACTTTTGTTGGGAGAGACGCCTGTTTTGCCCTCACAGAGAACTGAAACCTAAATTCAGTTGTAAAAGAGAGAGACTTTAATTCCTTCACTCTCCCTGACTCTGCTTCCCATGAGGTAAGCCTGTCACTTCATCAGGTACGCCACAACACCAACACGAGGCACTGCCTCATCAAAGGCCCCAAAGCCATCGGACCAACCAATCATTTACTGGAGCCTCCAAAACCGCGAGCCAAAGAAAGCTCTTCTCCCTTTACTTAACATCTCAAGGTGTTTAGGACAGGAAGAGGAAGCTGGTGAATACACAGCACAGCGCCTAGTGCGTAGCAAAAACAGTAACTGCACACTGCAACTGTTTCCACATGAAAGAAAGGGAGAGTTCCTGAGGATGAGATTCTCCAGGGACCGAGGGAGGGATCTTACAATGAGCTCATTAACTCGACCTCCCTCATCACAGACTTTAAGGAAGAGAGTGGTGGCTTACAGAGGTGAGGCTAGCAGAGGGACATGAAATACGGCCATGTGTTCCTGCGAACTGTTTAAGCACATGCTACGTAACACTATTCTAGTCTATATACCTTTTCTGTTCTATATGCTGGTGGACCAGTCCCAGAGCATGAAGAGTGCTCTGGCGTAGACTGCTTCTCCAGCCTTATACATCCTTTTAAAATGGCACGCCCCAGAGGGAAACAGAGTGCTTCATTCAACTTCCTAGCAACTCACTGAGGTGTGGTGTATGAATTACACATTTTGAAACAATTCAGTGGTGATTCTTTCCCTCCTTCCCACGTCTTCCACTTCCCCTTTGTTCAATGATGCTCTTGATAGCTGACCGCACCCACTCATAACTCCTAACCAACAAACCCAGAGAGTAACTGCTGGATTTGCAGGAACTCTGAGCTCCTTCCCTCAACTTGTTCAGAACGATTTTCCCATACAACATTTGGGAGACACTATAATTCACTTGTATTATATTCATTTGGGCATCAATTAAGTTGTCAGGCATGGGAAGTACCACACCCCTCAACTTTGGAAAGCCACAGGAGTTAAGGAGTGCTTGAAAGTTGGAGCGTTCACTTCTTTAAGTATGTGTTCCTTCTGTGGTAAAGACAGTTATATTTTGTCCCAATAATATGACTTTTGAAGAGTAGGACTGAGGAGCTGGGGGAGAGAGCTCTGATCTGTAGCGTTTGCCCACTTCCAAAGTATAAATGATCCTTGGTGATATCAAGTTAATATCACGGAGCTATTGAATAAGCTAGCACTAGCTGCCTCCAGCATATATCATATATATGTAATGGCATATATATGGCATATATGCACACATATGTGGCATTACACATATATTATATAAGCATTTTATATATTATATAACATATTATAATATATGTGTATATATATATATATGTCATACTGTAGAGCTATCAGAACTGAAATATTACTGTCAGTAAGATGACACACAGCACAGAACCTGACTCAAAAAATGCTTGCTTTCTAGCCGGGCGGTGGTGGCGCACGCCTTTAATCCCAGCACTGGGGAGGCAGAGGCAGGCGGATCTCTGGGAGTTGGAGGCCAGCCTGGTCTACAAGAGCTAGTTCCAGGACAGGCACCAAAGCTACAGAGAAACCCTGTCTTGAAAAACAAAAAACAAAAAAGGCTTGCTCTCTTCTCCTGCTTCTAACCACTATCTAGGGTTCCTTCAACTTGTTGTGTGTGTGTGTGTGTGTGTGTGTGTGTGTGTGTGTGTGTGTGCGTATGTGTGCTTGCTTATTCAGGGGGTGGGGATCAAGACAGGGTCTCACTAGTTAGCCCTGGCTGTCCTGAAACTCCATATTTCCATCTGCAGGCTTGAGTAAGTCCTACTAAGTTCTGGCTTAAACCCCTTACTACTGCAGCTTTTCCACCACTCGCTCAGTGGTTGGCCGATCAGACCATCCTCGTCACACACAATAGCAAGCTCCGCCAGAAAGGAGATCACGTTTCTTTCATCTCTGTGATATACCCATTACTTAGCGTCATGCCTGCCAGGTGCCAGGGGCCCTAAATGTTTTTTTTTTTTGTTTGTTTGTTTGTTTTTTAAACTTCATTCCAGGATCCTGAGTGCTGACTCTTACTAGATTAGGACATGAAGTTAAAGAATTAAAACAACAACATCAAAAATTCTAGGGAACTTTTTTTTAATGAATAACATGAAAGGTCTGAGCGCTAAACACCAAGAATCATTTATGAAAGAACTTCAGAAGCCATAAGTAGAAAGATATTCTGTATTCATAGACTAGAATGCAAATTGGTAAAATGTCCCTACTCTCTAAAGCAATCTGAAAATTCAATGTGATCCTTATGAAAATTCCAATAACATTTCCACTGAAGTCAAGAAAGCAATGCTAAAATTCATATGTAACCATAGAAACTCCAAAAAGCTAAAGCAATTTTGAGGAAGAAGAGCAAAGCCAGAGGCATTACATTATCTGACTGCAACATCTACTTCAAAGCTATTCGGACAAAACCAGAATAATATTAGGACTAAAAAACACACATATATTTCTGGAATACAGGGTCCAGAGGGTATCCTGGCACATATCTGCAATCCAGTAGGGCAGGAGAATCTAGAATTTAAGTCAGGCCTGGTATACATAGGGAGACCCTGTCGCAGAAACAAACACTCAACAGACCAAACAAAGAATAGAGTGCTCAGAAATAAAGCCACACGCTGATTAATTGGTTTGTGACAAAGAATGGACAAAGGGAACAGAAGAGTCCCTTCAACAAATGGTGCTGGGAAATCCAGAGGTCAACACAAAGATTATTAGATGCTGACCTCATACCAAACACAAAGAGCAACTGAAACTGGGTTAAAGACTCCATGCCTAGGACCTGAAACTGCAACCCCCCAAGGAGAGGCACAGGGGGAAAGCTCACAACCCTGGTTTGAGCAAAGGTGCTTTTAGGTGTGAGCCTAATGCACCAGCAACAAAACAGAATGGAAGAAAATTGATGCCAACCATATACCTACTAATGTATTAATATCCATAATATATAAGGAACTCAAATATTTCATAATCTCTTTTATTTTATCTCTTCACTCTGGTGATTGTTTTGTTTGTTAAACAGAAGCTTTTTTAGTTTAATGCTTTTGCTTTTGTTACCAATTTTGTTAGGCTCATATAAAAAGAAATTAAGAGAATTCTTGCTCATGTAATCCAGGTTGGTCTTGAACTCTCAATCTTTCTGCCTCGGACTCTGAAATGCTGGAATTATAGCGGTACACCAGTACCTCTGGCTCCAAACAACTATGGTGAGAAGACAAACTGGGGTCAGTGCGATGGTGCAGCAGGTAAAGATTTACCAGACAGACCTGGTCTGAGTCTGATGGTCGGAACTCATATAGAGGAAGGAGAGAACTAACCACAAGCTGTTCTCAGACCTCTACATGCATGCTGAGGCACTTCTGCCCCCACCCACATCACACACATGAAAATAATAATAATAATTAATATAATAATAATAATAAATACTTTAAAAAAGACAATGTGGGGGGGGGGCTGGAAAGATGGCTCAGAGGTGAAGAGCACTGGCTGCTCTTCCAATTCCCAGCATCCACAGGGTGGATCACAACCATCTATAATGAGATCTGGTGTCCTCTTCTGGTACACACAAGCTAAACGTCGTTGAGACTCTGGATAAAGGGAAGCCTCACCACTGCTGAGAAGAATGTGCACTTATGCCGGGTGATGGTGGCGCACACCTTTAATCCCAGCACTCGGGAGGCAGGCAGATCTCTGTGAGTTCGAGACCAGCCTGGTCTACAGAGCTAGTTCCAGGACAGGCTCCAAAGCCACAGAGAAACCCTGTCTTGAAAAACCAAAAAAAAAAAAAAAGAATGTGCACTTATAACTTATAGCCACTATGTAAATAGTACGAAGGTTCCTTATACATTTAAATGGAGCTAACATGGTCCAGAACTACCAGGAGGATTTCCCAAAAGGAAATAAAACTGGTAGGTCAAAGAGTCTCTGCCCCTCCCTCCCCCCTTCAATGTGACAATATGGAAGAATCTGGAGAACCATTTTGCATTTTATAACCATGGAAGCTGAAGTTGGGGAAAGCAGAAAGATATAGCCAAGGTGTAAGTGGAGAAACTGGATTGGCGGTATCCAGCCCCGTGTCTGTCCCAGCTTGTTCCCTGTACCCATGGGTGGCCAAGAAAGGACTGCTCTGAGCAGACAGGTTACATGTTGTTCCACAGCACAGTCCTGTCCGGGATTCAGAGTGCTAACTGAGCAATTTGGCCCACAGATGCTCCAGGGAACCTTAGTTTCCCAAGATGGTCTGTGGAAAACAGATGAGAAAAGTTGGCTGGCGCTTTCAAACCCTTAGCTCCCACAGTGCACAGTGTGTACCAGCAGATTGCCACCCTGGGAAGTTCTGCAGTACTGCCAGTTAAACTGTGCGGCACTCTTAGGCACTGGGATGTAGACACGGCAGGGGAATGAGGCAGGCTGCAGGAGAAGACACCACAGGGGAATGAGACACGCTGCAGGTGCTTTTTGAAACAAGATATAAGCTTTTACTTTCCTTAAGAAGGAACTGAGCCTTTTTTTGTGTGTAGGGGGGTATGTTTAGGTTGCTTTCTCTGGAGAAAGTAAGCAGTTAAAACAAATAGTGACGGGCAATAAGTCAGAGGGAGGGGCAACTCCACATTCCCATCTCTGAGGTCATGCTACACTTTCTGGCTTCATCTGAAACCCCACTTCCTTCTCCACCCTGGGTCTTAGGGGCTGGCCCCACAGCGAGCCCAGCACAGCTGGCCCCCACAGGTCTCCCACTCCTTGCAGGAGTGGAGACATAGGTATTAGAACTCCTTTTGTGGGACTGCCACTGCCCAAGCCCACAGATTTCACAGAAATACAAGTATTTGCCTGAGGCAAGGATTCTTCTGTCTTTGGGTTAGGCAGGAGTCCTCCAAAGACACTCCCAGCAAAGGGAGGAGGATTCTGAAAATCCTTTAAAATGTCAGGTTCTGAATGTTGGGAATTCTCTGTTTCTCTTTTGGCTTGTTTTCGGTTTCTTACTGGCAGTACTTATCTCTTAAAAAAGAAGAAGGTGGAGGGGATAGGAGGAGAAAGAAGAGGAGCAGAATGGGAGAGGAAGAAGGCACATTTGCAAAGAGTCTGCATAATTATGCTAGCCTAACAAAACTAGAAGCTCCCAACCTGCTCCAAAATGTAGAGTTCCTGTTGGCAGGAACACTTGTCATGGCTCCCCAACTACCCAGTCCAGGTATGGCACCCACTCCTTACCCACTCGGAAGATGAGGTCATCCTCGATGGGATTCTCTTTTCTCTTGCCGGTGCTGTACATGCTGGCGGGTCTCTTCACAGCCTTCTGCTTGACGTGACCACTCCCGGGGGACTTGACGCGTCGCTTCACGCCCTCGGTGGTGGGGGACACGTCGGCTGAGCGGATAACCTTGAGTTTAAACGGGCTGCCTCGGATGTGCTGGTCGTAGAGCCTGAGGGACAGGGTGAAGTCCCCCTCTTTCTGCACAGTGTACAGGAACTCGTAGGTGCCGTTCTTGTTGTCCAGGATCTCGCCGTCCGCCACGCTGCCGTCGGGGGTGCTGAGCTCGGCAGTGAGGTATGCGTTGCCTGTCTTGCACAGCTCTCCGTCCTTGTCCTTGGTGGTTATGGTAACTGACATGGGCTGCCCAATGATGGTCTGCCGAAGCCCCTCGCCCGTGGCCACCGTCTCTGAGGCGACAGCGTTCGTGGTAAGGATGGTCCCTAGGTTGTGGATGGACTTCTTCAGTCCCTCAGTTTCCACGATGAAATCCAGCTGGTCATTCTCGCGCGGGTGCAGAGGGAAGTCTTGGTCCGCCAGTTCGTTTAGTTTCTCGCTCATTTGCTTCTTCACCAGTAGCACCTCGGTTTCCGTGCCATGGTTGAGAGCCTGTGCCGTGAAGTTGCTGCAGCTCTTGATGCTTTCCTGGCCTTGGAGAAGGGTATCCAGCTGCGACTGCAGCACCTGCCAGACACACAGAGAAGCAGTGAGCACTTCCTCCAGGACACTTGCCAGGAGCTGGGGCAGAGCCCTCCGTGCACAAGAACCGGCTTCTATACCCGCCCACTCAGCTGGCTCCAAAGGAGCTGCATTCCATTTAACCCAGTGAACTCAGGCGAAAAATGTTACCAGTGCCTTCTGGAGGTTTCCCTTCCGCCTCTCCCTGCCTCATCACCCACACGTGAGCGTTTCTTGGGTCATCTGTTTACATAAGGCGAGGCAGATAGGTCGGTACCCCCAGTGTGAGACACAAATTGCTTGATGTGAAATAGTCTTTACTCCGTAGCTTTCCCTGCCATTCAGAGCTGCCTGGCTACTACCTCAAGGAACAAAAACCAACCATTGGAGAAGTCTCCACACGTGAATAGCAGAAGCTCTCTGCCCCGGCAGAGCCAAACAAAGACTACAGTCAGGATTGGCTTTGAAGTTGAGGAACAGGTTAGTGTGGGTGAGGGCAGTTAAGAGGCTCGCCCACATTATAATTACGGGAGGAAAAACATTCCAGGCAACTCTAAGACCTGAAAACACGACGTGCTACCTCTCACGTCAGACTATGAATTGCTACAGAAGGTGACAGAATCCCAGCTTCGCCAAAAGAAAAATGGAAGTTGGGGAGGGGGTGTTCCTACTAAATGAAAGCAGGAGTCCACTGGACAATGGTGACATTAAAGACCACGGCTGTGAACGGAGTGGCCCCGGTGTCACACCCCTTAGAGGAAACCTGGGGACAGCCAGAGTCTTACTTTATGTTTGAGGCCATAGTTGACCTCGAGCTCCATCAGCAGGACGCTCTTGCGGACGTTTAAAGTCTTCTGCAGCTCATCAAAGGTGGAGTGGATGTCATCTACAATGCTGGCCTTCTGGTTCGTTAACTGATGGATGATTTCTGAGATGAACTGAAGAGCGGAATCTATTTCAGGGAGTCTGAGAGACAGGAGAGTCGTTAAGGATCATTAACATCCACCCAGAAGTATTCCAAAGTCTACCCACACCCTTTCCGTTTCTCTAAGAGCAAAATGCCCCTTTTAAAGTCGCTTCTCACCATCTTTAAAGAGCCATAGAATGAACGAACGAACGAGACTTTCGGGGTCACAGCTCTTTCCATTAACCTTCAGACACCCAAGTTAACTATCGATAGTGTGATAGGCTTTCCTGCCTTGTGCATGTAGGGTGTTTAACAGTGTTCTCTCCTCTACCCAATGCCAACAGCATACCCCACCCCACCACTGCTAGGACCCCAAAAATGCCTTTAAGTATTGTCAAGTGTTCTGGATGGGGGTGGGGGGTCAGAATTGCCTGTGGTTGAGAACTACTGTGTTCTAAATGTCTAGCTTCATCATTTTTTCCAGTCACATAAACTTTCTGAACTCAGAGTATCTGGAGAACGTCCTGTACGTTTTCAAGTCCCTTTAGGTGACATTGAAAGATGATCTTTTTCTCGCTGGGACTCCTGACTATCAGTAGGACTACTGAGTACTTTGTCTGTCTTTCAGCTGGTTGTTAATGCCTTCTTTTAGGTCAGTCTCTCTCATATAGGACACAGGTATTGCTTTTATTTGTATCCATGCAAAAGGGGGAAAAAAACCTGAAAACAAACACACTAGGAAAACTGAGCGATCACTGCTCAGCACCACTGGACGGGTCTCATGCACAGAACCATCCCAGCCACCACCACAGATCTGGAAGCAAGGCAACACAAGTCCAAGGAAAATCTCGGTTCTGGTTTCAGGCAGGAGGTTCTGAGAGCTCATGATCAAGAAGAATGTAGAACATACGGAGTTATATATACAGGCTGGCATGACCCTAGCATCTCAAACACCAGGTGTGGAGGCCAGGCCTCACATGGGGTGGGGAGTCTGCAGGGGCATGGCACCTTTTGTTGACCGCATCCAGCTGGACCTGAAGTGAGGCCTTGTGCTGTTCCACCACGTCCTTCAGCGGCACCGTGGGGTGCTCCGCGTGCTCCCCCTCGGTGCACTCCCGACACATGGCCGTCTCACAGGACTGGCAGTAAAACTCCATCACCTGTGGGTAACACGGAGAGCTCACTCTGCAGGGAAGAGACACACATTCTCTTCTGCTTCATTCCCAGTCACTAAAGCTGTTGGCATGCTAGCACCCAAGCGTTGACGTGACGTTGACATGACATTGACATGTCGGGCCTCAAGAAGAGGTGCATCTGACTCCAAGGTCACCTCTGCTCCTCTCAAGGACTTGGGCCTTAGAGCCTCTTTAAACTCCTTATAAAGCATTGAGGACTTTAAAAGAGCCTTTGAGCCAGGCTAGGTGGTGGAAGTCTTTTTAGTTCTAGCACTCAGGAAGCAGAGGAAGACAGAACTCTGTAAGTTCCAGGCCAACCTGGTCTACATAGTTCCAAGACAGTCACTGCTATACAGTGAGACCCTGTCTCGAAAACAAACAAACAGAAAGGAACTTTGGTATATATGGATTCTTTCCTTTCCATAGATACTCGTCACAATAAAAATGAAACAAAAATTTGTTTATTAATATATGGAAAGTCAAGTTACTTAAATACTAATGTTGACTTATGAATAATAATTTGCAAACAAACAATATTTGTAAGATGGAAAATGTTTGGAGGAGCGTGGCATGGCTTTGCATTTCAGTACATCTCTGCAGGGTTTAGTTTGATAGAAGACAGCTGGATTCTCCTCTCTGTTTCTGCATTCATTCTGCAGAACACATACAGATTCTGGAAAGTTTTAACACACACACACACACACACACACACTTGAGAGAAAGAGAATAAAAAGAAAAATTATCTTTATTATTCTGCTATAAATGCAGTATTCACTTTGTGGGACCCCTGAAGAGGTCTGGGGACCCAGGAAGTCTCCTAAATCTTATTTAAAACAGCCACTGCTTAATTGGAGATACACTCAGCAGTTTGTACCCAGCTCCATCACCCACGGAGCTGAATGGTCATAGACCAATGAACTAAGTTCACTGACACTCAGCTTCTCAAGAGAAGATGACGCCATCCATGACAGTGACCCGCTCCGCTGGACTGCTGTGAAGATGAAGTGGGTTAATACACACAGAACATGATGATGCCTGGCTCCAGCTCAGTCTAGTTCCCAGTTAGGAACTGTAGTAGTGATGGCAATGACATCATCTGGATATCCTTAACCAGAAGCTAAGGACACTGACCCTGAAGTTAAGTCACTTAGCCTGGTTAGGATGGACACTTAGTAACAACGTAACACAAAAGCCTGAGAATTAGTTACTGCCCTCCTTCCTCTCCTGGGAGTAATCATCCTCCACTTTGACTTCCCAGAGCACTTTTGAGGGAGAACTTTACGTGACATTCTTAGTACCTCACACACTGAAAGGGGCATAAATCCTGACTCAACTTGATGGACGGTGGATTTTCAGTGTGACTGAAGCCAACAAGCTCCTGATCACAGGGAGTCTCTTTTCCAGAGCTCAGGTTGTGCCTCACCTGTAGTGGTACTCAACACTACATCACATAAATCACAGGACACCCCATACCCATGGTTCCAGGGATAGGTATCATAGCAACGCAAAGGACTCCTTCCTTATTTAGTCTTCACTGTTTGACATAGTATTTTCTGATTTTATTTTGGAAACACTCTTTCTGCATGAACCAGATTTAAATAAAAAATCCTTCAAAATGTTTCCATGAGAATGTTAGATTTTATACAACATTGTACTTCGAAGTAAGTACATAGTGAGTTACAGGAATTCGCGTTTCATTTTAATTTTGTCATGTATAATGACCTTTTAGGACTATGCCTAGGCCATAAATTGGAAACACCCCCCTTTTGGAGATAGAAATCAATTTATTTTTTTAAATTTTTATCACATAAGGAGACCTGTTAGGCTTGGACCATGAATTGGAAATTTCCTTTTTTTCTCTCTTTTTTGAAGCTGGGGCTCAAACCCCAGGCTTTATGTATGGCCAGCAGATGCTGTCCCCGAGTTTCTCTGTAGCTCAAAGTTTCCTCTGTCCATCTGCTGTTCAAAATATCGTCATGCTGAATTAAACTGTACTTTAATAACAAAGTCAAGTGGAAATTCAAACATCCCAAGGGAAGACGGAACGTTTGCTTCTTATTTTAAGAGATGTGTGATTCAGTTCAGCCCAGTTCCTGAGGGTCTACCACACTGGAAATGCTGGATACGGATGGTGTGGCCTAAGCTGCCCTCTTTTTGTTTGTTTGTTTTGGTTTTCGTTTTTCAAGACAGGGTTTCTCTGTGTAACAGCCCTGGCTGTCCCAGAACTTGCTTTGTAGACCGGTTGGCCTCAAACTCACTGAGATCTACCTGCCTCTTACTCCCAGTGATGGGATTAAAGGCGTGTACCTGGCTTAAGTGGTCCTTTCAATGGCTCTCCCTTTCTCTAGCTGGAGTTGCTCTTTGGACTGGTTTATGTCACTTTAACATATTCCTTGCTTTATCTGTTCAGGAAACAGAAGGATATAAAACTAACGCAAGGTCATGTTAAATTTCCTACTGTAAAGTTTTTAGAAATTACTTTTGGAAATGCAAATATTTGGTAATGACATATGAGCCCTATATTACAAATATTTTATTAGAACTTTATTGGTCTAAGGGGATTCTTGTCTTTCAAGCAGCTGGTGGGAGGAAGGCATAGAGAATCCTGAAACTTCCTTCTGAAAACATCCTCCCTAGGGATCCATGGCGCATGATCCGTTGAGGGGCAACATTCCCTTCCCATCAAAGCTTCAGCAGAAGGTGGCTCACAACATCAGACAACCTTATCTCTGGATCACACATAATGAATGTCTCCCATTCAGGGCAGATACTCATGAGATCCCACCAGTCAGGAAACGACCTCCGGCCATGGTGTGTGGAAGAGCCACGGATAGATGCAAAGGCTCCTTCCCTCGGGTTCTCAGGGCGTGGGCACTGCTGCCAGTGTCTGGGTCCGGGACTGTGACATGCTAACAGTGCTCCTCCAGCCTACTGACACATTTCTCACTCAGCAGAGGCTGACCCTGACTTGTCACGTGCTGCTTTGAGGAAGGAGTGTGTCGCCTCAAATGTAGAACGGGTTAGACAATGGCAACGTTTATTTAACGGTCAGTGTCCATGCTGCGTTTAGATATCTCAAATACTATGCCGTATTACTGGCATTTTCTGGTCTGAGTTCAGTGTATTCTGAAATCTGAGGAGTGAGGCAATGGGGGAGGAAATTGAGACCAGAAAAGGACATGAAGTAATATACAGACACTAAAAATGTAAAATGTCACCAAGACCAGAGCCTATCAGCCTATGGTTACTAACCCCCTTCTTACTTGGTTTATTTTGCTTTCTGTATTTGAGTGTTTCTCCAGGGCTTGCAGAAGAGTTTATAGGGTGTGGAGTTGCTTTGTGTAGGTGATGAAAACATTCTGGAACCAGATAGTGATGATATTTGGGCAATTTTATGAATATAAAGCCCACCAATTGTACACTTTTCAGTGTTTGAAATATTGAATTTGATGTTATATGATTTCTACCTTAAAAAAGACTGCACCTTTGAGTGGGTAGCAGCAAGTGCTCCCTGGGGTTCAGCTTCCCAAGGGTGTCCCTGGAGAAAGACGCATTTTGAAGTGAAGAAAGCTAGTGGTTTGTAAATGCTGGCTCCTGGCTTTCACAGCTGAGACTTGTTGAGCTCAGCACTAATTGTGGGGTGGCTAGTGCCCCTCAGCTGAGGCCATCCATCTCTACACAGATGATGCCACTGTCCCCAGGGGTAGAAGGGCAGCCAGAGGCCAGGGTGAGCTTGGTGCTGTTGACAGGTGGTCACCGTCTGTGTCCATCAACAGAGAGGCTGGCAGAACCATATGCATTCCTAGCGGGGGGGGGGGAAAGGACGCTCCAGGCCAATCCACTGGTCTTTGTGGGGAGCCTGACAGTTGATGGGGGAGGGGCATTCTCACCCCGAATATCCCCTTCCTGTCAACATCCTTGTTAGCTGCTGGATGGGGCCTCGCTGAACACTGACAGCGTCCCCTGGTCATCTGTCGAACCCGGATAACAAGGCACTAGCTCAAGTGTTGGCTTTGTGAGCAAAGAGGCTCTTAGATCACCGGCCGCCATTCTGTTTCCTTTAGCACTTGGCAGTGCCGGCATGGAGACGTGAGCACGTGACAGACTTTCGTCCACTGGCGCTAATCAGCGTGGTGGCACCCCGCTTTGCTGTTAATCACCTGATTTTATTAACCTTCTCATGCTCGGCTGAGAATCTTTATAAAGATTTACCCATGGCAATTAACTGTAGCGGTTTATCCGGGATACTGAGTCTGGCTTGTATAGGCAATGAGCATTCCTGTTTCAAAGAGCCCTAGCCATCTGCTCCTATCGTCTACGACCAGATGACGGAGGGGTTTAAGATACGTGCCGCTAATTCCCCACGGCCTCTCGCTGGTCTGTAAATTTATAATTTATAAATTTAGAATGGTAGCGATTCTGCACGTAGGAAAGGCTCAGAGCTTACTTTCAACTGCTTCATTCACCCCAAGGAGGGTGAGAGCCGTTAGATAGATTTAGTTGTGATAGGTTAAGAGGCATTGGGTGGAAAGGTGGGAGGGGGACTTTAACGTGAAGAATCTTCAATGGTTCTAGAGGCACTGAAATTAGCAGGGCACCTGGCATCCTACGGTCTCCGGTGTCGAAGCGTCTTTAAGAATTCCTTTCTATTCTTCTGTAAGTCAGGGTCTCACTCTATAGACCGAACTGGCTTCAAGCTCAAACTCATAAGGTCCTGCCTTGTGCTGCTATTAACGATATGTGCCCCAAACGTAGGTATTCTTTTCTAACTTGTTCATCAGACAGTAACGAGAGACCCCTCCTTCCTGAGGAAGAGAGTGCCATTTTATAGAAATTCAGTTATTTTGCTCTTTATTTGTTTATTTCTGAGATTCTGGGGAGGGAACCCAGGGTCTTGCAAATGCTCTGCCACAAGCCACACCCTATGCCCTCCAGTTTTAATTTTATTCACTTTTTTTTCACGCTGGGATTCGAAGTCAGGGCCC